CTTCTTGACTCAATGTGCCAATTATGTCTTAATGTTGCTTTGGATAATCAATGTCATTAATGAGGGACATAAAACAATGAATCAATCTTCATGCAGCTGCATAATTTCCTCAATAAATCAAGATGTTTGAGTCTAGCATTTCACCTGATGACTTATGAGCAATGCTCTGTATTCTGCCTTTAAGCTCTCAGGATTTTTAAAAGATGAAACCGTTGAAAGAGTGACTTAGATGCATTGTCTAGATAGTCAATCTTTTAAATAAAAAATTGAGGTCATTTATCTTACCACATCCCTTTACGGAGTGCCTGGTTAATCAAGTTGTGTATAGTGGTGTGTATATTTCTCCTTTTCTCATGGGATGCAAGGGGGGTGGGGGGAGGGGGGTATGTGTTGCTTTTGGATAGAAGTCTTATGGTATGCACCTAAGTGGGTAGTAATAGAGGTATCTACTTCATGCCTTAGTAATGAAATTAGGGGTACTTTTTCATATGGGTTACCCAAAATTGCTATAATCTGTTGCTGCTGCTTTGCTTTATGCTGTTGGTGCAGCTTGTAGTCTGTTGATCTTGTTTGTCGTGGTATCCATTAGATCCTTGGTATAAGCAATCATTGCAATGGTAATTAACACTCCTAGCTATTCTATATTTCGCATGGTTAAATCTATAATTGTTGCAAGCAGAAGATAGCGTCATTATTACCTAAAGGTTTAAACAGGAATATAATGCTAGGTGAAGACTTTTAGTGCTCAATAAGACAACATCAATGTGTCTCATTTGTGCTTACAAGTGTGTCCTCCTCTTAGTATGTATGAATTTTGCTGTTCATTGTGCTACTACTAGTCTATGTTAATATATTGCCATAGAACTTCTATTGTGGTCAGTTCTTTAGCAAATATCTAGGTTTTTGTTTGTGCATTGGAGTTGTCTTGTCCGAGTTATCTTGATACCTTGAGTTTGTTTCCATTGCAAGCTAACCTTAGAACATTATTCTTGATTGTATATGTATAAATTGTGCAAAGTGGTTATCTTGAATTTATTAAGGATTTGTGTTTGTAATACTTTAGAGGAAAAATACACATTATGGAAACTGATAATCTGATGCTCTTTCACCATTTGAAACTGAAAAAACATCACTTTTCTAGTTTTGGTTTAATTGTAAAAGACATTCTGTTTTTGGCCAATTCTTGTGCTTATTTTGATGTTTCTCATGTGGGAAGAGAGGGGAATGGGGTTGCTCATAGGCTTGCTCATATTAGTGTCATGTACATTATTAGGAATGTTTTCCCTTACTCTGAATGTTATTTTTAATTCATTATTAGGAATGTTTTCCCTTACTCTGAATGTTATTCTTAATACATTATTAGGAAAGTTTTCCCTTACTCTGATTTGGAACTGTCTTCTTTTCTTTGAATTTGTTTTGCAGCCATTAGCTTTTAATGACAGTCTCAACGACGCCTTTGGCCATTGCAAAGGCTGTGATAATTGCGAAGGCTGCGGGAATATTGCACAGTTCCCTCGACTATACCCGGGAACTAGTAAGCGTCATGCGCCAAGTTCCTCTCATGCACAAGCCGATGCTCAAGCATCAACCAGTCAAGTTAACCCAACTCAAGCATCTATAACCAGGATATTCAACACCGTTAATGCTGATCAGGTTACTACCCGAGATGGGATGGCTGCTATCGAGTGGCTGGAGAAGAACTACAACGCTGGAGGTTCCTATTTCGCTGGCCTCACGGATCCTAAACTCATCCTTTCCGTGAGGAGTCAAGATTACCTCCGTCAAGAAAATGGTATGTTGGGTTGTTAGTATGTTAAATTTTCGTGTATAATTTGCAGTAATTTCGTCAAATTTTCATGAGTAATTATTTTAAATGAATACCTACAATTGTTGAGCCCTTCCCCTATTGCACTATGCTAGCCACCCAAAGGGATAGTCTTCTATCATAGGACCAACTAGAGCTCTAAACCTTACTTCTATCACGAATGCTAAAATAATGACTGATTTTTTTTTTTTTTTTCAGCCGAATGAATCACTGCAACAATATAATGATAAAGGCTTCGACGGAGTAGCTATTGGCCCTGCTGCTTGCTGCCTTATTATTATTAATTTCCTGCCCTCTCAGACTTCCGATTTAGTATTTGTAATTTTTATTTGGATGAGGATTTTTATTGGATAATGCTTGTACTCTAAAAACTCTGAATGTTGGAATGTTTTATGTTTATGCATGTTTTATGCGGATATTTATAAGTAACACCTTTTAATCTATTCAACAAGTATGATCAATTTCAATAGGTTGTTAGAGATGAAAAGGGTTTGAATCTTGACAGAGACATGGGAATCACAAGGCCCGTGAGGGCTGTGACAGGGAAAGGTGGCTGGTGTGTAGGCAGGGATGGGGGCTGGTGTCAATGCAAGGAGAGGAGCTTGTATCAAGGCATGGAGGATGGAAAGTGTGTGCAAGCAGAGAAAGGGCAGGGGCTGGTGTATTAATGTCTATGGCTTAATAATATATAGTTTATGGCCGCTTAACAATATAAAGTTTATACAAATTCTTAATTTAGCTTAATTAGTTAAAATTATATTGTATTGTTTATGATAAACACTAAAATATGATTCAGTCAACTATTTAAGTAAAATAAATATGTAACTATTTTATGAAATATGTAAAGAGTATATGAAGTTTTAAAAAATCCCTTTTAAAAAAATTGTGAGAAAAAATCTTTTAAATAATCATTGTTATTTTTTAGTGTGCAGAAAGGGACCTAACAAAAAGATGTAATTTTTGGTGTTATTTAAAACAAACTAGTCTATACAATGACGAGTATAAATTAAACAAACTTCTAATGACTTTGTTCATTTATTTTTAAACAATAATTAGTTAAAATTATATTGTATTGTTTATGATAAACACTAAAATATGATTCAATCAACTATTTAAGTAAAATAAATATGTAACTATTTTATGAAATATGTAAAGAGTATATGAAGTTTTAAAAAATCCCTTTTAAAAAACTTGTGAGAAAAAATCTTTTAAATAATTATTGTTATTTTTTAGTGTGCAGAAAGGGACCTAACAAAAAGATGTAATTTTTGGTGTTATTTAAAACAAACTAGTCTATACAATGACGGGTATAAATTAAACAAACTTCTAATGACTTTGTTCATTTATTTTTAAACAATAATTAGTTAAAATTATATTGTATTGTTTATGATAAACACTAAAATATGATTCAATCAACTATTTAAGTAAAATAAATATGTAACTATTTTATGAAATATGTAAAGAGTATATGAAGTTTTAAAAAATCCCTTTTAAAAAACTTGTGAGAAAAAATCTTTTAAATAATTATTGTTATTTTTAAGTGTGCAGAAAGGGACCTAAACAAAAAAAAAAAACTTTGTGAAATGAAATTTTCCATCGTTTTTCTTTTTTTGCGAGAAGGAAATTTTGTGTCGGAAAAAAATGGAAAAGTTCCATCTCGCAAAACTATTTTTTTAGGTCCTTTTCTGCAAAAAATAAAAAATAAAAGCTCTTTTCTCACAAAGAAATAAATAAATTAAAAGGTCTTTTCATTTTGAAATTTTTTCTTTAATATTATAATATTTTGTATTTCGTGGCAAAATATGAATGTAATACATCATTTATATTATTCTATTTGCTAATTTATGTTGCACAAATTTCATGATTCAACTCCTCTTCCACAACCCGCTATAATTTTCTAAGGATTTAATTTAAGTTTTTTTTTAAAAAAAATAAAGTTCACTATTTTATGTATATTTTTAATATTTCATGCAAAATAAATTTCACTATAACTTTTTAAGCCATGCATTTTTCATGTTTAGACATTGGTTACTGAAAATTTATTATATATGTAGTGTATGTATGAATTAACGGGTGTTTAGTGTAATGGTTACTTAGTGTTCTGTGAGGGGAGTTAATCAAGATTTTGTATAAAGATTACTATTGTTTTGTATTGGTTTTTTTTTTTATTAAAAAATATATATTAATTTAGAGGAATGAAAGGTAGAGTGGATACTTGAGAGGATATTGATATCGAACCCAAGACAGGTGCACCATTCTTCCATGTCAATCTTACTAAGACGCACGTTTCTCCTCTCTATCAATTGGCTTATTTCAATAATCTGCAGCGTCAGGCAACTAAAGATGCTGGAATCATTGAGCTCTTCAATCTCCCATTCTCAAAATCATGATCCTCCTTATTCGAAACAACCTTTCCCTTTCCCTTACCCCTACTGTAGGGGTAAGATTAGTAGGGGTTTGATCAGTAGGGGTAAGGGTAGTAGGGGTTAGCGTTTAGATCAGTAGGGGTAAACCCTAGTAGGGGTTAGGGTAGTAGGGGTAAATTAGTACCCCTACTAATCTTACCCCTACTAATCATTACTATTACCCCTACTACTCTAACCCCTACTACACTTACCCCTACTGATCTGTACCCCTACTAATCTTACCCCTACTAGGGTTTACCCTTACTAATATTACCCGTACTAATCAAACCCCTACTAATATCCTACCCCTACAGTTTCCTTCATCTTTGACAGGATCATTGCAGATATCTCTTCGGCAGAAAATTCCTTCTCAATACTTGTTAAAAAATAAATACGTGATTAAAAAGTTTCTTTGATTACATCTATATATATTAGACAATAACGGCTGAAGGTGCTCGAATCCTTCCTAACATCGAATCCCCGGTGATCCTCACTCGTGGCACTAAGAGTTGGACGATGGGAAAGTAACAAAAAGGCAATGTTTTACCCTGATGAGTTCTAGCTCGTTTGTGGGCTATGTGGAGGCTAAGCGGCTTCACATGCACTTCCAAGGGTAGGGGACAGGAAGGCCTGCTTGGGAAAGCAACAAAAAGGCTTATAGGAAGGAGCTTCAATGATGAAAGTGTATTAAAAGACATCGGACTTTGGCCATTCAAAGTTGTTGCTTGCTTTGGTTCAAATAATGAGAAGAAGCCAATGGTTGTAGTTAACTATAAAGGCCAAGAGAAGGAATTTTCTGCCGAAGAGATATCTGCAATGATCCTGTCAAAGATGAAGGAAACTGTTGAGGCCTATCTTAAAGGTACCTCTTCTTGGTTCTCCACATGCTGTTATTTGGTTCTCCGTCTCACGATCCGATTTTATCCATTTTAATCCTGAGCTTCTCAGAGAGAACGTTATTAAGTTCCTCATTCGCCTTCTTTTGCCGTTGATAGAGGGCAGATTTATTCTTAAACCAAGTGAGTTGCTGATTATCCTCACTCATCTGCTTTAAGGGAACACCTACCATCTCCTGGTATGACCTAATCTCATACTTCAGTCTTGTTTGATCAAATCAAAGGCTCATAAAAAAATGTGGAAAAACTTAATTTAGTTAATTTTTCAGAAAATGGCACCTTACCAGATAAGAAAGACATAACTGACCCATATCTTCTCAATGTATTAACATTACTTCCAGCACATAAACTTCAAATGTCAACTTCAAACTCAATATGTAGTAAATACAATCCTATGTGTAGTACATATTAACATTATGTAGTAGTTAATATGTGGTGGAAGTGACAAGTGTATGTAATTTGTAAGGTGACAAGTGTATGCTACTACATTTTAACTACTACATAATGTTAATATGTACTACACATAGGATTGTATTTAATACATGAAATGGTTAACGTGTATTTGCAGCAGCAAGTTGTTTCTTCAAGTTAAGCACCTCTATACCGTAGGAGCCAACCGTTCTTTCAACATAGTGGAAGTTTCCTCAAATTTCTTATGCATGAAATCCTGCTCATCTAAAGCCTGCTTGTAGAGACGAAAAAAGACAAATTTACCAGCTTAATTAATACTATCTTCTTGTCATATTTTCTCGGCTCATTCTATGATCCCTTAAACCTTTGTTATATCTTTCAGTTCCCCAAATTCTTTAATCAATAGCATCAATCTATATTTCTGCAAATCAAAAGTATGACCTGACAACTGAACATTTTCCAATTCTAGATATTATGTTATAGACTTACATTACATGATCATTATTTTCTTACATTACATGACAATAAATACTCCATTCCTTATTTTACGCCATTATACACTCCTCAGTGTGACCAATCACCTACTAATCTTACCCCTACTGATCATTACTATTACCCCTACTACTCTAACCCCTACTACACTTACCCCTACTGATGTGTACCCCTACTAATCTTACCCCTACTACGGTACTTGGTGACCCCTATGGTCGAGAACATAGATTTGTGTGTACGGGAGAAGTTCCCCGAAAGGGTGACTGAGGGCATTGGCATCATATATCATTCACTAATCAAACTAAATTACTAAAATCAGCATCATGTCAAAAACTTGACGCCCAAAATTTTTGTAGTGTCTTCTAAACAGAGTTGACGGTGGTTATATCTTCACCTTCTAAACTCAAAGCCAACATTTATTAAACTATAGCAAGAATCATATATATCAAGCTTAATAACAAAGCACTTGCAACAAAACCACCAATAATTTTGAATGATTCTGGACAGGCTTCACTAAAGAGGTCATAACTCACTTTCTAAGACTACCCACAACAAAGCATTTGAACAACTAGAAATTAGACTTGTAGAGCTTCAATTTAAGTACTTATGGATCAAAAACCAACAACATTTGATCCCTCTAAAGCACTGTCAAAGAGACAGAAAGAATGAAAGGTACGTAGTACGCTACCCTTTCATGGAAATGAGTGAAAAGTATTGAGCAAGCTTAAGAACTAACCAAACGAAGTACGTATGTTACTAATGTTAGTACGTGTGTAGTGTTGTAGTCTATTGTAAATGCTACTGCTTGTAGTATATGCAGGCTTTAGATGAGTACCAAAAGTCAATATTTCTATAAAACCGCTTGGTTTTGTAGAATTTTCTCAGAAAAAGTCAAACGTATGATCTTGCTGTGTCCGTTGGACTTTTATAAAACCATGTGGTGTTATAGAATTTTACATAAAGTCAAATAAACGATGTTACTGAATCGTTTGGCTTTTGCATGATAAATCTATAAACACTTGGTATAATTTTAAAAAGTTTTGATTATATATATATATTTTTTTAGAACTATTTTTTCTTCTCAACTATAAAAATCTACAACTGGTAATTTTAATTTCGGATTTTTTTGTTAAATTCACTTGCTAGTTTTTTTTTTTTTTTTTTTTTACTTTTCCGTGAAACTTCTATAAAACCATGTGGTTTTATAATGTGTTACTGAATCGTGTGGCTATTTTGGCTTGCAACTTTGTTCGACTTGAAGTTTCATTTTGAGCATAATTAAATTCACTTGGTAGATTTTTTACTTTTCCGTGAAACTTCTACAAAACCATGTGGTCTTATAGACTTTTGCAAAAAGTCAATATTTCTATAAAACCGCTTGGTTTTGTAGACTTTTCTCTGAAAAAGTCAAACGTATGATCTTGCTGTGTCCGTTGGACTTTTATAAAACCATGTGGTGTTATAGAATTTTACATAAAGTCAAATAAATGATGTTACTGAATCGTTTGGCTTTTGCAATCCATCATTTCAAATTTGAAATGATAGATTCCAAACTTCCATTATTTGCTGGAATGCTCATGAGTTGTTTGTGGCTATTTTGGCTTGCAACTTTGTTCGACTTGAAGTTTCATTTTGAGCATAATTAAATTCACTTGGTAGATTTTTTACTTTTCCGTGGAACTTCTACAAAACCATGTGGTCTTATAGACTTTTGCAAAAAGTCAATATTTATATAAAACCTCTTGGTTTTGTAGTCTTTTCTCTGAAAAAGTCAAATTTATGATCATGCTGTGTCCATTGGACTTTTATAAAACCATGTGGTGTTATAGAATTTTACATAAAGTCAAATAAACGATGTTACTGAATCGTTTGGCTTTTGCATGATAAATCTATAAACACTTGGTATAATATGGTAATGGGTAAAAACTTCATTGATGATGATTTCAAGCTTTCCAAATGCTGTAAAAGACATTATGTAAAGCTTCCTAAGCTTATCAACTACGTAGTGAATCCCCTTGAATTGGAGAATATCATCAAATGTGTCAATGGAACCATAAGATATGCTAAATATTTTTGGTTCATTTTCACTTTCTTGTGAAACAGATTTGGAACCGACCATTTTCCTACAGCAGACAAAATCAAAAGATAACAGTCTTGAACCTTGATTGGCAAAAATTGGTCTTCAGAGAAGTAGACGATGAAGGAAAAGAGCTTGGAGGGAAAGGAAGGTCTTAAGAGCGGGCAAGAAACATGGGATAATAGTACAAAGTCAATTAAAGGCCAAGTGAGCGAGCAAATAGTGAAGACTCGATCTAAGGCTAGTTTGCAAAGTTCTTTTCCATTAAAGAAAGCCTGCAACATCTGCTGAACCTTTGGAATTCGGGTTGAGCCACCAACAAGAACATCATCAACACCGTCCTTTCCTATCTTGGCATCTTCTAAGCACTTTTACAGTATCCAGACACTTCTTAAGCAAATCCATATTCAAATTCTCAAAACGTGCACGGGTTATGGTCGATGTAAAATCAATGTTGTCAAAAAGAGAATCGACCTCAACAATAGTTTGAAAGTTCATTGAAAGAATCCTTTTAGCTCTCTCTGAAGCAGCCTTTAATTTAGCAAGAGCTCTATTATTATTACTGATATCTTTCTTATGCTTCCTGACAAGGTAAAGTCGTATCCCCTAATCAAAAATAATTACCTAAATCTCTAACTAAAGTAGATAGGGAAGTAGGGTCGATCTCCACAGGGAAACAAGTCTTTTTACTCCTAATTAAATATTATAATCTAAATTATTTAAGTAACCAATATTTGTGAACGAATAAGGAACTAAACTAAAAAGAGTAGGAATAGGGAGAAAATAATATATAAAAGGATCTAGGGCATAGGTTCACCAATAAATAATACTCCGGGGTAAAATAGGGTAATCAATCATTGACATTGCATAAATAACATGATTAACAGGCTCTCGCAATTTATTAACCAACATAGATCTAATAGGCTCTCGCAATTTACTAGATCTAAGTTCTTATTGAAAATAGCCTTTAATATCAAATTAATATCTGCTCGATTCATCAATTTAATATTGCTATACTTTTATAAGCCGCAATTGTAAAACATTAAAACAATCCAATAAGAAATTATCATGCAATACCAACAATCAATAATAGTCAATCATCAATGCATCAATTAACCAGTTTGTAAAGGGCTCTCGCTACTTATTACAATCACACAATTAATTTATCGGTATTAAATCTCATATCTCGATTCTTGACTTAACCATTTATAAATTAACTTGCCTATTGAAACTAGACCTAAACATTAATTCTCATCTCTCGATTCTTGAATCAATATTGTCAAACTCATGCATAATAGATAGGCCTAATCTAGTCACAGAGCATTAATTCAATCAATAGGAAATTAATCTAGCATTGATAATCAACAACAATAATTTACCCCTTCATATTATTTATTAGATCCCCATGAACCCTAGAAATTAAATTACTCACACATAATTAAATATAAACTAAGCAGAGCAATAAAATAAATCATGATCAAAGGAATAAAATAAATAACTAAGATTAAGGGAAAATAAATCGTTACCAAAATAAATCTGAAATTAATCAAGGAAATAATAACAAAGGTTTAGAGAGAGAGTTTAGAGAAAGAAGTCTAAGTAGAGAGAGAAAACTAAGAGAAAGGATTAAGAGAAGAAGAAGTGGTCTAAAAATGTATTACGGAGGAATACTTATACTCCGTACAAAAATCCTAAACTAAAACAAAATAAAACGACGCTAATCGTCTCCTAAATATATACACGCGCCCGATCGGGCGAGGCACCGCCCGATCGGGCGCGCCTTTTTTTACTCTAACACTAATCTCGCGCCCGGCCGGGCGCGTCACCGGGCGCTTCTCCCGCCCGGCCGGGCAGCAACCTTTTTGGCCGGGCGGTTCATTTGGGCCAATATTTGGACTTCGATTGGGCTCCAATTCTTCGGGCCAATCTGGGTTTCCTCTTTGGGTCTTGAATACTCGGTCCAAACGCCCCGGTATCACCTCTACCGAGCCCTTAATCACCGGTTCGATGTCTCTAACCGGCCCTGGGCTATAAAATCTGGTCGTGTTTCTCCAATGCTCGTGATTGCTCCAAAATATCTCGGGAAAATACTCCAAAAGCATAAATCCCTGCAAAAGTCAACCAAATCTACGAAAACACTAGAAAACACCAATTAGTAATAAAAGTGGCTCTAAAGAGCTAAAAACACTACTAATTATGACCAAGGGACGGGGGTAAAATACTATATAGAATGGACACATCACTTCCTCTTAATGTCGTCAACAAAATGAGCCACCAGTCTGTTGTCGAAGTCCCCTCCACCAAGATGGATGTCCCCACTTACTGCCGCGACTCTGAATTCACCCTTTTCAATGGCTACCAAGGAAACATCAAATGTTCCACCACCTAAGTCAAAGATTAAGACATTCGTCCTTGTTTCAGTTTCGGTTCTGCTGATTGATTGAAGATTGATTCCATATGCCATTGCAGCTGCTGTTGGCTCGTTAATTATACGAACTACATTGAGCCCTGCAATTTGGTTGCTTGACGCTGTGAATTATTGAAGTATGCTGGCACAGTGACAACAACATTCGTAACAGTGCTACCAAGGAAAGCCTCGGATATATTTTTCATCTTCATGAGGATCATTGAGGATATCTCCTCAGGTGTAAATTTCTTTTCCTCGCCACGGTAAGTAACCACGAACACAGGCATGTCTTCCTTGTATGAATCAGGTTCTGCCATGAACCTTTGGAATTCGGGTTGATCCAACAACAAGAACAACATCATCAACACCGTCCTTTCCTATCTTGGCATCTTCTAAGCACTTTTCAACAGTATCCAGACACTTCTTAAACAAATCCATATTCAAATTCTCAAAACGTGCACGGGTTATGGTCGATGTAAAATCAATGTTGTCAAAAAGGGAATCGACCTCAACAATAGTTTGAAAGTTCATTGAAAGAATCCTTTTAGCTCTCTCTGAAGCAGCCTTTAATTTAGCAAGAGCTCTATTATTATTACTGATATCTTTCTTATGCTTCCTCTTAATGTCGTCAACAAATTGAGCCACCAGTCTGTTGTCAAAGTCCCCTCCACCAAGATGGGTGTCCCCACTTACTGCAGCGACTCTGAATCGTTTGACTTTTGCAATCCATAATTTCAAATTTGAAATGATGGATTCCAAACTTCAATTATTTGCTGGAATGCTCATGAGTTGTTTGTGGCTATTTTGGCTTGCAACTTTGTTCGACTTGAAGTTTCATTTTGAGCATAATTAAATTCACTTGGTAGATTTTTTACTTTTCCGTGAAACTTCTACAAAACCATGTGGTCTTATAGACTTTTGCAAAAAGTCAATATTTATATAAAACCACTTGGTTTTGTAGACTTTTCTCTGAAAAAGTCAAACATATGATATTGCTGTGTCCGTTGGACTTTTATAAAACCATGTGGTGTTATAGAATTTTACATAAAGTCAAATAAACGATGTTACTATACAGTGAATAGAACTCCACCCATATTTTTTCTTATTGATATCAATGATATGTTAATGAAATGTGGTAGCTTCTTTAAGGTTATTGCCTGTTATTGGTTGTTGTTGTGGACCTTTGAACTTTTTTATATAATGTTGATTTACTGCCTTCATATTATTGGTCGCATGATGAATGCATGTAATTGTATATTTGCTTCCGTCTCTTATACGATCAATTGATTAATCGTTTCTTTAGGAGTGAGAAGGGATTATATTATGCACAAGATCTTGGAGGTACTAATTTTAGGATGTTGCGGGTTCAGCTAGGAGGAACACGATCAAGCATTGTTAGACAGGATGGTGAAAGGAAGCCCATTCCTGAACATTTAATGACTAGCACCAGTGAGGTTGCTCATTCTCTGTCTTGTAATATCTTACACGATTAGTTATTTGAATCTAGCTTTACTAAGAGGAGTTTGAGAATTTATTATTGTAGGAACTGTTTTATTTCATTGCAGCATCACTGAAGGAGTTTTCCGATCAAGAAAGGGACGAAGATATAAGTGATACGTCTGTGTCAAGAAGGGAACTTGGTTTTACCTTTTCTTTTCCGATGAAGCAAACATCAGTTACTTCTGGGATTCTGATGAAATGGAAAATAGGGTTTTATTGTTGTTCCTTTTTTTTTTTTTTTTTTTTTTTTTTTATCTAATCTTTATTATTTTTTGGCTACAGCTTAAGGAGGTGACATCCAATGACACTGGTGTTTACATTCAACCACGGCTACAGCCATTGTGCGATCGAAAATGGTAAGTGGAAATTTTGATATGTACGCATTGTTTGAATTCTGAATATTTTTCTATACACATACATGTTAATTTGATATTGTTCTTTCGATTTAGAACATTTTTGTAAGACAAAACATGAATTCTCCAGGGACGGGTGTACGTTAATTTTTTATAAAACGAGTTAAAGTTAATCAAAATTAATTAATGTTACCTTTTATACTGTAAAAGTTACTCGTATTATTTTTCTCCAATAAGGTTAAGTTTATAATAAAAATAGTTAAAGTGAGTAAGTGACCGTTTTACAATAAAATTAATGTACATGTTGTACACAAAACCATTTAAGACAAAATTGGTACACTAGGAAGCTGAGCGATGAAGGTTTTTTTTTTTTTTTTTTTTTTAAAAAAAGTTTTAATTCGATCTAATTTTGATTATTCAGGCTCACAAATTCCTGCCCCGAAGAGCTTGTGGAGTTATTTTGTGTTACCATTTGCTCTTTTGATGATTTTGGTGATGTTTCGAGTCTCACTGGAGAAATGGATGCATATGAGATCACTGAAATCAAGAATTGCTTTAGTGTAAACGAGTTGGAAGTTGGCATCTTATATCCGCACCTAGCTCAATATTGTATCACGGCTCCTAATTTTGGTATGTTTTTTTGATTTGGAGGATGCTAAAGGTCATCTAATCAGCAGAGGATTTTTGTAATATAGTGAAAGGATTCTGCCTGAGTATAATAGACGTTTGTGCTCTATAGTTCCTGTTAAACATGGTTACGCGGCCGCATATTACACGATATTTCAGGATGCAATACAAGCTAAGGTAAAATTTACATTATTGACGCCTGAGAATGTCGTGTTTGTGGGAGTATTAATGGTAGATATAGCAACTACAATTACTCCACCAAATATGAGAAGGACTACTTTCAAAGTATTCTTTATGAAAAAGGCAAGTCATTGTTGGTAAAGGGTGGTGATGAACCAACTTTGAGAAAATCTGTGATTGCGGTGCCATCAATTGCTTCACTTATTTTAAAAGTTGATTTGAATGTTTTGGTTAAGGGTGAATGTGTTGAAACACTAAAGGGTAAGGTATCATTTAAGCCTCGAGATTGTGATACCGAAGATCTCAATGAACAACAGATAATCAACGGGTCGAATTCATCATCAACGTATTATTTATTAGTTTCTGTGGTATGGGGGTATCAAGAATTTGTCCAGAAATTTGATAATTGTAGCATTTCATCTTAGCAACAATTTCACCTTTATTGTTGTTATTAGTGTCTTCTTTGCAAAACTTAAGTTAGTCATGAGTAGTTAGACTTGTTACGGAGTACAAGGTTTTTTTCTTTTTGTTTTTGTACAAGTTTTATTGATGTATATAGTTTTCCTGTTTTTACTCCATTTAGATTATCATTATATGTTTTATAAATTTTGTTTGTTCATTATATTTTTGTTTGTGTCAAACTGCCAATTATGTCTTAGATGAAGATTGAAGACCTTATTGGCCTGGTGTGGGCATGTGGCCAATGGGTTACCCACTATTAGAGTTTTATGTGCCTAAGTTTAAAAAGAATGATGATATGGTCAAAGTTAATGCATAAATAATTAAAAAAAAAAATCAACGTCTGATGTATTCTAGTAGGGAGGGAGTAAGGTAAGGTCTTGTTTAGTTCACCTTATTTTTACTTATTTCAGAAAAAATAAGTTCAAATCAGATGAGAAAAAATAAGTTCAGATCAGATCATTGTTTTATGTGTAATTTTTTTATCGCTAAATATCTTTAATTTCGTAATGAATTTTTTTTTATAAATCACATATTAATAATATACACATTGTTACAAATCTAATAAGACCCCACTTGATGTTTTTTTTCTATATAGTTAAATTTGACATATCAGACCACATCAGATAAGTTCAAATAAACAAAAATGAAGTGAAACAAACAAGTCCTAATATTGTATTAATGGATTCTTAAAAAATAAATTAAAAAAAAAGAAAAAGTTATATCTTCCCTCTTGTGTAGCCCGTAGTACCAAACACCCCGTAATTGCGATTGAATGTAGTGTGTCTTATCCATGGCGGTGTCACTGAACCACAGCTGCTACTCTCTTCCTGACCAGCATCGTCGTCTCCATTTTCATTCTCATTCATTCTTCCAAATTTCTCTCTCCTCTTCTATTCCCAACAAAAACTCCAAATTTCCCAAATTCAAAAATAAATCTTGTCCAAATCCCATTTTCAAAAATTCCCGGCAAAATCTCGTAATTCCTCCGATTTTCATGCTTGCTCTTTTCGACAGACCTCCTGATACCCAAACTTTCTTGGTTACTGTCAGCGTCTTGCTTGCAATTACACTCTCTCTCTTCCTTGGCCTTAAGGTTCTTCCTTAATTTTTGTTTTTTTAGCTGAATTTTGTAATGGGATTTTTAATTTGATTGCATTGCCATTGAGTTAGTTGCATTCGGTATCGGCTTTTTATTTCGCCTTAAGTACCCATGTCGGATCCTTGACACTTTATTTTGATCATAATAGCCAACAAGTCCGAGTAACATGGTTTCAAATTGAGTTTCTGGTTAATTTATGTTTGTAATAATTATGTGAATTGTGAAACAAGGAGTTTGAATTTTGACATAAACAGTTGATGTAAGCATTGTGGAAAATGTAAGTATATAATATGAAATTGATTTTGAATTGTTTAGTTGTAATCAACTAATCGAATTGTACCTTATCTTTATCCTATTTAACATTAGGGTAATTAATCAGGTGATTAATTTCAATATTACTTCTAATTTGTGAAGTAATATTTTGTAAGAACAATAGCATTTTATGATTAGTTGGTTAATGTACTTGTATTTCCAATCAATTAGTAATGTTGCTGCAAGCATCAACCACCATACATGTATCTGGTAGTTGGTGGGGGTGGGTGTGGGGGTCTTGGGTAGTCAAGAGTGTGCACAACCTTAATCTCGAGTCCTCGACCTTCGTAGTTAGAACTACTTTAGGAGCTGTGTTTGATTGAAATGCAAAGTAAGGATTGTTGATTTGGTCAATTTATTAATGGAGCTGACCTCCAAAGGTTCCAATAACATTTAATAAAGTAATAATCCCAACTAATTCAAGCAATTTAGTGGAGTTTGAATACTGTTGTTCAATGTTGGTACTGACTGGAGCATTTTTCTGTTCTAGATATAAGTGTTGATGGGTGAATAACTGATAGGCTTTTGCAGGGCGATCCTGTTCCTTGTGATCGATGTGCAGGAAATGGTACGCTCTTATCTTCATTCCCCAAACCTATCTTAAGTTTTATTTTTACTAACTATTCTGAAGAAGTACACTATAGGAGTGAAAGCATGTTTAGTGTTGGACTGTTGGTGATTGAAGATCTTAGGTTTTGCACATATGTTTTGCATTAGAAATATTTTCTGTATGCAAATGGGAGGTTGATGTTTTATACTTTTACATTTTTATCTGTTAACTGAGAACTTGATTGACTCTTTGTGGCATACAAAAGATTGAAAACTTCAAATAGTTGAAGCATTTTTACGATGAACCAGCAGTGTTTGAAAAAGATTTGCCTCTTGATATACAGGGGGTACAAAATGCGTATTTTGCAATGACGGAAAAATGAAGACAGAAAAAGGACAGATTGATTGCAAAGTCTGCAAGGGTGCAGGTATGGATTCACAATGCTACAACTTCACATACATTCGTCATTATTACTGTAACATAGAGAGGATTTAAATTAGGTGGTTGTTAGCCAATAGGTTATTTGACTATGCTACTTCAAATCCTCAGTTTGTGTTACATTACATAACAGTGTCTGACACTTGATTTTCTATTAAGGGTATGAAATCTTTACTTGACACTTCAATTACACTCAAACACAATAGTAATACGTAGTATGGTTCTAATATTTGACAAGAAATTTTCCTGTCGAAATATCAATAAACCTTGTCCATACTGTAGCTTGAAAACCCTCAAGAGTTCTAGGTAAGACTCCCCAAACTGCAGTAGGTATAAGTGTAAAACACTTCAATCCATCTCCTTCACAAATTCTCAAACAGCTTTCTATCCTGATGGACTTAACAACTTAATATGTTTCTAATGTTGCTATATAAAAAAAAAATTCTATTAATTTATATCCTGTATGCCTTTTGCATCAGTCTCAATACTCTCAAAAAATTATTCCTCAAAGTTATTCCTAGTTTGCCAGCTGCTATTGCAGCTGTTCTCTCTTTTGGTATTTAGAGCATTTTAAGTTCTTTCTTGTCCACGTGAACAATTGGTAGGGATTTCTTTTTAAGTGAACAATTGATAGCCTCTCTTACACTGCTTTAATATGGAGGACAATTTTCACCGTATATACAATCTGCATACAATTGAACACGAGCCTCTGGAGCTGAACCACGGACAGAGCATAGTTAATCAGCATTTACACCAATCCTTAAAAGCCTGTCCTTGGTCTATCACCCGCCTTGCATAATGAGCCTATTAATATAGTGTTTAAGGATAGAGTATCTATTCCAATTTCCAAACACTGTAGACCTGGGAATATGAGAGCATAACAAGCCATTTCAGTGTAGATTTTTTTATGGAGTTTTTCGGGCCTCTTCTTCAAGTATGCAGCCTTGTGCTATATAAGTTCACCTCATCCTTAAATTGCAAAGTTGTGGAGGAAAGATTTAAAAGCTGTGGAAAGAGGAGATAATTATGCTATATATGCTCAAACATTGGCTTGAGATAAAAAAAACAACAGAAGTTCGCAGATCAATCAAACTTCTAATATGTGTGTGTGTGTATTGTAATATGGAAACTCGTGAAAACAGTTTTGAAAAATTAGGCAAGTGTTTTATGCACGCTTTAAGTCTAATTCTAGAAATGTGGCCATGTCCGAAGTCTTGAGTCGTGGTGTGCCTTACACTCTATATTTGCCCTCCTAACACAAGATCTGTGCGGCTGTGCCTGAGACTCTGAGAATAGCCCCATAGGTCATCAAATATCTTCAATGCAGATTATCTTTAGCTGCTAAAGCACAACAGTGTTTGAAGATTACAGTCTGAACCTAATCTTTGTATCTTTTTTCTTTTCAGGGATGGTACTATGCAAGAAATGTGCAGGATCTGGATATTCCAAGAGGCTATGAGGTGTATAAAGCTGGTATCTGCATCTGCTCTTGGCAAGAATGTAATGTTTGCTGTGAAATTCTATATTTTTTACTGTAACCTATTCCCATCATAAGATATCATAAGATTCGGAAGATTGTTGCTCGCTTGTAAATTTTTATATTAACAAATTTGCACATTATAGTCAAATTCTATGCATCAGTTGCAATTTTGTGAGATGCGCTTCTGCTTACTTTTCTTCATTCAATTTCTGCAGTTTGGGGATTGCTCAATGCCACTATTGTCAAAATTGTTTTTCATACACCTTTGGCATATTGCAGTTTCTTCAATTCTGGAAGTCCAGTCATATACAGTTCATGTTGTTTTAGATCACTATTTCATGATGGCAGCATTTACGAGTTTCAGTCACAATTTGTTTGAAATGTATCCATAGTTGCTAACAAATTTTATCTAGTTTCTTAGGAGAGATGAAACCTAAGGAGTATTCATCTAAGATTTTCTGTGCCTGCACCCTCCTTAAGCTGTAATGTGCACAATATCAAGCACATGTGCTCTCCTGGAGGCCAAGAAGAGTGCTGAAATCATTTCCATTCAGCCGTATCACTCGTACATGCTAATTCCCTTGCACACCAAGGCTTGATCTTGTAGCTCCATAAATTTTTCTCTTACACACCAAGGCTATCGATCTTGTAGCTCCATAAATTAAACGAAGTATTAAGTATTCATCTACTCACTTTGTATTACAGATTAAAAGAGATTGGATCCTCTAATGTGTAATGCTTTGTTGTTGTTCACAGTATAAATTGAGGCAAAATCACAACATTCATTGAAGAAGGCCACAAAGCCCTTAACTCTAGATCCATTCCTTCTCCAGTTATTCTATCCACAACATCAATCAATTGTGCTATAAAGAAGAGTGTCAAAATCATCTATGTTTATCCATATAATTGGAAATCCTACTTTATAACACCACATTGTAGAATCCTATTAGATTAACCTAAGATGACATTGTGTCGGGTCGGCTCAGGTTACATTTTTGTTGAAAAACCATGACAAGCCACAACCTAACATGATAAAATAAGTGAAATTCAAACAACACGACTCGGTAAATACATACTTATGATGTATTTTCAAAAACTACGACACGACAAGTAGCTAGTGGGTTGGATCAAGTGTACCACAAGACATTCGTGGTTGGCACGAAGCACAGCCTTGAGCCATTCTTTAGTCTAGGCAACATTGAGTCATTGATGCAATATATTTGGGAATAACTTTCGAATAAAAAAAGACCGAGGGCAAAATAGTCATGGAAATAACTTTCAAATTGGCTCCGCTCCACAGCCCCCAATTCAAAAATTTCAAAAACGAAACCCCTCTATTTGACCGTTAGATTCAGATCCTCCATTCCTTTTCATTAAAAATTGTCAGCCATTTTTGCTTTGTTCCACAAATTTCCACTCTCTCTCCTCACTCAGAAACCCTAATTACGCCATTACTGATGTTCAAGATTCCCTTCTTCTCCGAAACACCGAGTTCAGTGAAGACTCGGCCTGGGTTCCATGACCCGCCCGAGTCAGCTCGGGCTACTCCGAGCATCGCCAAATCAATGTCTCGCGATAACTTGTTGCAGTCTTCAACTGATCGAAATTTCAATGATAGAGAAGAATTTCGTGATTCTGCTAACAATGCGTTAGTAGTTCGAAGCTTTGATTTGCCCGAAGATCCTTCTTTCTGGAAAGATCACAATGTTCAGGTTTGATTTCAAATCATATTATTCCATTTGATTTTTAGTTTTGTTTTTTTTTGTTGTGTTTTTCGAAAATCTAGGGTTTTTTATTTCTAGTTGAAGTTGTGAATTTGTGGAAACAATGCGAGTAAATATGATCGAATTAGGGTTTGAACTTTGAATTAATGGTGCAAGTGAGCTCAATTAATTGGAAAAATAAAGTGAATCGATGAAATGATATAGTCATTGTTACTTACTTGATACTTTATTACTTATCAAATTTAGTTGAGTATAATTTGTGCAAATTAATCTAGATCTAGAGAGAATATTAGGGTTCTAATGAATGTTTAAAAGCTAGAAAATAATAACTAAGTAGTTTCTTTATTCCAAGATCTAGCGGAACCCGAATATGATTAATGCATGATTTAATTCTTTAAATTCTCTGATAATAATTGTAATTGATATGCTTAATTGATTATGCTTATGCCAATACTAGATTAGAGATAATTGGTATTGTTATTAATCCTTTGTTTTAATCACAACGGGAGTTGGGTTTTGACGGATTTGAATAAATCAATTAAGGGTTTGAAGTTCATCACGGGAGTAGTTGAATGGATGATTAGGAAGTCAGAGTAATGTGCTTAAGGTCTCTAATTTACATGATTCCACGGAAGTAGGCTTGATTGTGATTAGAGAAGCCATTGATAACTCGAGAGAGACCTTTGGTATTATTCATGGATTACTTTTCCTCTTAAATCAATTGAATTATGTGTTAGGGGTAGAACGACTATTGCATTAATTGTATTCGTGGTGAAGCTTGATCTTGGATGTTTTTAGCATTGATTTGTCATATTGTTCTGATTTAATCGTTTTAATTAGTTCTTTAGTTATTGATTCTCACTTATTTGAATTGGTTACTTGCTTAGTAATTGCTTGAGTCTATTTAATTAGTTGAACCATAGTCTCTTGGGATCCGACCCTTGCTTGCCCATCTACATAGTAGTGGTCTAGTTAGGTTTATTTTTGTTATTGCAAATGATGATTGAGTTTTATGCAAAGTGTGCCGTCTTTCCTAAGATAGACTAACATTTAATTGTTGATGTTACAACTTCAATGAGCAGGTTATTATTAGACTTCGCCCTCTCAACAATTCTGAGATATCATTGCAAGGCCAAAATAGGTGTGTTAGGCAAGAAAGCTCTCAAAGTATTACATGGACCGGACATCCTGAATCACGATTCACTTTCGATGTTGTTGCTGATGAAAATGTTACGCAGGTCTTATTCCTCTTTCATATTGTATAATATTGTTATTATTCTATCATCATCTGATCATGTTTACTGACCCTATCTGTACAAGCGTATGATTGCTGATGAATTCCGTTCATGTGATTGATCAGGAAAAGCTTTTTAAAGTGGCTGGAGTGCCTATGGTTGAAAACTGTGTGGCAGGGTACAATAGCTGCATGTTTGCTTATGGACAAGTAAGCCATTATGCCTGTCTATGCCTATTGTATTTACATACAAGTATACAACTTGTGCTTTGATTTATGCATATAATAGGTTTGTGACTTTAGTTCGATCTTGTGGTCTAGCTCTATGGATGTTTTATTACTTTGCTGTCCAATAGAATATGAAAATATGCATTTCATTAGGCTACCACTATTAGAGTTTGAAAGGATTATTTTGTTTTCTTTATGCTAAGGCCTTTTATTTATGAAGGCCATAAATAAAGGAAAGTGCACTTCTATGTAGTTTTGTCTTCTGGGAAACAGAGTTATTTGTGTTCTGCTCTACTTATTTTTTTTTAAGGCTGTGTAACTTTGTATGTCCTATTGGCAGACTGGAAGTGGGAAAACACACACAATGTTGGGAGATATTGAAGGTGGTACTCGACGACATAGTGTTGATTGTGGAATGACACCTAGAGTGTTTGAGCATCTCTTTTCTAGGATCCAAAAGGTATTTTCTTCTGAAAAAGATGTTGTGAGCAAATTGTGGTTTGAGTATTTATTACTTAATTTCTTCCATTATAGATTTTTCTGTTTGAGTTGCAATGGCTATGAAAATTTAGTACTGATTTTGAATTAGATAAAGTCAAAAGTTATGTGTATCTGTTTTAAATTATAGATTACTTGCAACAATTAAAAAAACATTGCTGTTTAATTCTTTCTCAGACATAGGGTTAATGTACAACTAGATGCTTATATATGCTTGCTTCACTCTTTATATAGATCAGTGACATCAGTCTATGTAGTTGCTAGATTAGCAAGAACATGAAACCTGATTATAGTATATACTACTTCAAATTTCATTTGTGATCTTGTTTCTTTGGAATGTGATGAATGCATAAACAATAAAATTGTAATATCACAGGAAAAAGAGGCTCGGAGAGAAGAAAAGTACCGTTTTACTTGTAAATGCTCATTCTTGGAGATCTACAACGAACTAATCCTTGATCTTTTAAACCCTTCCTCAACGAATTTACAGGTAAGGATCATGTGAATTGCAAGCTATGAAATCTTCTTCTTCTTCTTTTATATATATATATATATATATATATATATATATATATATATATATGTATATATATTTGTGTGTGTGTGTGTGTGTGTATAGAGCCATAATGATCATTGTAGCAGTGAGGTCATAAGCTTGTTTTTATCAGTAGGATTGCTGGATCGAGTCTCTGGGTTGATGATTATTAAAGTATAAATTGTCATATTTTATTGTCCAGTAGCTTCCTTTCAAAGCTTATACTCCTCATTTTTCAGATTAGAGAAGACATGAAGAAAGGCATTCATGTTGAAAACCTAACTGAGTTAGAGGTCACAAGTGCTCGAGATGTTATGCAACAGCTTCTTCAGGTATTGATCTACATAACGAAACACATACTCAACCTACAGAAGACCTTGATTAGACTGTACAAGCATAATTAAGTTTGCATTGGTGAGAGATAATCTTTCGTTCTTTGCAATAGTCTAAAACTTAAGGAACCAATCTCAAGTATTCTCAACCCTTGACATGATTTTTGACCTCTTAAAATATGCCTTTTTACTAGGGGGGCCTCCTTAATGAGTTACAATAATAAACTTTACAAATATTTTGTGACAAGGTTGCAAATTAACTAGGAGTCTCTAGGATGACTAGGAATAATACGTATCAACTAGTAAAATTATGTGATGATTCCACATTTCATCTTCAAAACTACTATATGAACTTTTGACTGGTAATTATGACAATCTTAATTGGTGCCTGTTTCTTATGAATTCTATATACAAGTGCCTAATGCAGGAATGTTAATGGTTGTCAGGGTGCTGCAAACAGAAAGGTGGCTGCCACTAACATGAATCGTGCAAGTAGTCGTTCTCACAGTGTATTCACCTGTGTTATTGAGAGTACTGTAAGTATTTTCCCTCTAAATGTAGGATGTGTAAAAAAAAAACAGATCTTTTATAGTACAGAAATTTCAAAATTTAAATTTAAGTGCTTAACGAATGGTGGTGAAACTGCAGTGGGAATCGCAAGGTGTAACACATCATCGCTTTGCTCGACTTAATCTTGTAGATTTAGCTGGCTCTGAAAGGTAAAATCATAATTGCTACTCGTTGCTAGTACTAGAGTAATACAAAAGAAAGAAAATAGAAAGAGAGAAATTATTGTTCTAGAATCTAATCTTCTTGTTGAGTGTTGTACTGCTATCTATTTCAAGCCGTAGCCTCACCAATTTGATCATTACAGGCAAAAGAGTTCTGGTGCAGAAGGTGATCGCCTTAAAGAAGCCACAAATATCAATAAGTCACTGTCAACTTTAGGGTCTGTTTTTCCTTCTTTCAATTAAACTATACAGCAGTAGCTCACAGTAAAGTATTTATCTCTTGATTGTCCTTACTTTTTATAATGCTTCAGACTCGTGATAATGAACCTCGTGAGCATATCCAATGGAAAATCTCATCACGTGCCATATCGAGATTCAAAATTAACCTTTTTACTTCAGGTATTTTGTAACACTTTTTTTTTGCTCCTTAAGCTGCCGAGGAATCCTATTTGCAAGTCTGACTTGAGCTGTCCTTTGGAATTCAGGACTCACTTGGAGGGAATGCGAAAACCACTATAATTGCTAATATAAGTCCATCCAGCTGGTTAGTGCTTACTGCATCCCTTTTCTTTTTAACCATCACTTTCATCTATAATGTATTGGGAATCTGAACCAGGAAAAATGTTCAGTTTCTAGCTCCTACACATGGTAGTGTTTATTTAGCAATCTCGTATTTTTCTCCTCTATTTTGAGGTGAAGGCGGAGTTTATAATTTTGCTTAAGCAGATACAGATTATTTCCTGTTTTTCTTTATCTCGAATTCCAAATATAGAAGGTAGATTTTTCTGTTTTAAACTGTATTCCTTGATATAACTTTTCTTCTTCTTGCAGCTGCTCACTGGAGACTCTTGGCACCCTGAAGTTCGCTCAGCGTGCTAAATTTATAAAGAACAATGTATGTTGTCAGGAAGTCTGATTCTACTTTGTGTTTGGCTAAGTTGGTTTTCTTTAGATATTTGCCTTTAAGTAACATTCTCTAAAAATTATTAACTGGTAAGCTTCATGTTCATTAATTATAATATAATATCAATTTGTTCAATCTATCAGGCCATTGTAAACGAAGATGCTTCTGGTGATGTCCTTGCCATGAGAATGCAAATTCAGCAATTGAAGGTACATCTATTTTATATCTTCCCAAGAACTAATACAATAGAGAATTTCTTCTGAGAGAAGCATAAGATTATGTGAACAGACACATATTTTATAGGTTGTGCAAAAATGCAAAAGTCTTGTTGCCAAACAATCTCAATTCTCACTTGAATTTGTTCTAATCTTTTTATTTTGTGTATGCTAGTATAATTTCTGTCTTCATGTTTAAAATATTTTTCAGAAGAATATTGTTAAGCTGTTGTTGGATTAGTGTTGGATATCATAAAGAAGTTACATTGTATGAACTTTGTCTGTACTCATCTGATTTATCATGGTGCAGAAAGAAGTGTCACATCTGCGTAGTTTACAAAATGGAGGAGCTGGAAATCAGGATAATGATGCCATGACATTGGGTTTTCTAGGATCACCTGGGGCTTTTAAGTGGGAAGGTCTTAATGGTTCTGTAACTCCCCTGACCTCTAATAAAAGACTGTCCCAGGTTTGTGCTTTTGTTGCTTCAATATGCTATACACTGCACATTTTTGCATCAAGTTTCCTCTTACCAAGTTCGATGTTATTCTTCAGAAGAAAGAAATTGAGGTTGCTCTTGTTGGGGCATTTAGGAGGGAAAATGATAAAGACATGGCATTGCAAGCACTCACTGCTGAAAACCAGGCAGCTATGCAGCTGGTATGTAGCAAAAGAACCATATATGCTATATTGCCATTCAATTGTTCCTTGATGTTGAAAAAACTAGGCTATTTTTATTTGTGCTTTATACATTGTTGCTTATTAATATATTCAATATTCATCTATTCAGCCCCTCTCAGTAGTGTAATACTGTGCTGGCATGCTATCCAATTATGTCCATTAGAGACTTTCAAGTTTGTGAAATATGAACATTATTTATTGTGTAATATTGTGCTGGCATAGTAGCATGCTATCCATGCTGTCTCAGTTGCCTGTCAATCGGTTGAATTGATTTCTTGTCACTCTCAGTGCCCCAGTTACAATTATGTGCAAATAATCTTTAGTGATTAGCTACTGTGCTAAATCCAACTGCTTTAAACATCAGCATAAAACTTTTAATATGATAACTTCTATGTTTTCAAGAAAGTGTGATTTAACTTGTCAATTCCATATTTCCATACCTCATGATGTTGGTAATTACAAATGAACTTTGATCTGATATTATATGCTGATTAGGCAAAACAAAGACAAGATGAAATACAAGGCCTGAAAATGAGGCTCAGGTTCAGAGAAGCAGGGATTAAAAGATTAGAAGCTGTTGCCTCTGGTAAGATCTCTGCAGAGACCCACTTGTTAAAGGAAAAAGAGGAACACTTGAAAGAGATCGAGGTCTTGCATGCTCAAGTTAATAAGAATCAGGAGGTGACAAGATTTGCGATGGAAAATCTGCGTTTGAAAGAAGAAATTAGAAGGTATGTCCTTCCAGCCATCATGTGCTTGTGATGTCTGTTGAGTCATATTGTCGTCAAGCTCTTGAACTTTTAACGACCCTTTCCCCAGACTTCTACAATGAATTTTGCAGAGACTAAACCTTATGCGTATTGTGGGTAACCACAGAAGAGTATTATGTCACAACAGAGATAATTGCAATCCTTATTATATGTTTCAAAGAATCACTACATACACTTTAGGCTGACAGCTAATATGTGCGTTGCTCGACAGATTACAGTCTTTCTGTGAGGAAGGTGAAAGAGAAAGAATGGTCGAACAGATTAATACCTTGCAGAACAAGGTCTTTAATTAATTGATCACTCTCTTTTCATTCTCTATGCTTCTTGAAAATGACTAGCAGGCTTGACTACAATTTTTTAAACAATGTGCAGTTACTTGAAGCACTTGATTGGAAGCTTATGCATGAATCAGAACCATCCAATGCTCAGGTGCCTTATATGATTTTTATTTAGTTTTTTCATCATGTTAAGTTTACTTCACGTGCTTGTCAAAAAAAAAAAAAAAAAAAAAAAAAGAGTTTACTTCATGTGCGACTTACAAAGTGTGACATGCATTAGCAGAAAAGGAGTCCTTGTTTGCTGACAGACAGTCCAAGCGATTTGGACCAGCTCAACTCTAACAAGGTAGGATGTCATATTCATGTGATCTGTTCCATTAGGCAATCTTTAACTATTACTAATATGAGTTTTAAATCACCTCATGTTCAAAATTTGGAGTAATGTCCAATTGGCATAGTGATATCTGAAGAGATTGATAAAAAAAGATATACTAGTATATGTAGCTGCTGAGTGCTGACTGTATATCTGCATATAAAATCTTAGGGAGCAAATATTAGGGATGTAAACATATATACTCCGTATTATTGGTAATGTTTGTGTAACACCTACCAAAGTCTGTTGCTAACAGTAATACATTCAAAATCAAATTTGAGTGACAAAATCTTGGTCTGCTAATTCCTTGTGGAAGTAATATTTTTCCCAACAAAATAAATAACTTTTGGATAGTCGAGAACCTTTAGAAGCTATAATCATAATCCCCTATTATGTAACTGAATGTTTGCTTTATCTCCACTTTTTATTAGTATTTTGCATCTACAATGTTCAATTTCTTCTTAACAGTAGTCTTCAGCAATAACATGATGGGATATAACCTTGTAATAGAGGTTTTGGGTATTTTCATAAACAAATGGAAAAAAGACTTAAAATGTATATACAATTGATGATCTGAATTCAAACTAATTTTATAAACCTCACCCTGTTGCTGGTCTATTGATTCAGGAATCTGCATCACCTTGGCAATCATCAATCAAAGAGGAAAATGAATTTCTGCGAGTGCAGGTCACTGGAGTGCCTTTTATATCATTTTTTACTGTAGTTTGATTCCTGATTTTTCTGACTTCATTGCTCTAAAAGCTTTTTGCTTCTTCATTGGCTGATGGTCAACTTCTTTTTTTCATAGGCTATTCAAAACCAAGCAGAAATAGATTCTCTTCGTAAGAAACTCAACTCCTTTGTGGAGGCGAAGGAAAAATTGGAAAGGTTACTGTCTATAAACTTCTTTGGTCTTATTGATATTACATGACTGAAGATTAAATTCATTAATCAATTGGTCTTGTATGGACCCGGTCTACAGTAAATTATTGTAGACCCAAAATTTGACACTTTCAAATAATATAATCACATTCTGGATGATATAATCACTTTTTTAGATGATATAATTATCTATTTGTGATCATATTTTGAATTATATAATCTCATATTAAACCATTTAATGAGATAATATAATTATCTTTAGGATGATAAAATTTAAAAATCATGTTTTGAATGATGTAATTTACTATTTGATAGTACTTTTTATAATGATAAATTCACCTTTTGAGTTATACATTTACATAATAGTTTCAAAATGATATAATCACTTTGCAAGTAATATAATCACATCTCGTATGATATAATCACATTCGTGTGGTATACAAGATGGTTGGGTCTACAATAAGTTATTGTAGACCGGGTCTATTTCTAGTCTTTGTATTCATCAATACCTTCTAATAATTGCCATAACTTAGAAATGGAATGGAAACAGCCCCTTTCTTTCTGCCAAAGGTGACTGGTATTTGGAAGAATACAAAGTATTAAGTTAGTTTGTTATTTGTTGACTTCAGTTCTTTCATTGTTGAGGTCTCCACAGACAAAGATGCAGTGATTAAATAATGATACTTCATATGATATTTGTGGGATTCCAGAATTCTGACGAGTGCATTTTGCAGAATTCAATTATGTTTTTGTCACATGACAGGCTGACCAAAATTTCACATCTTGCAGGCACATCAAGGATTTGGAGGCAGAGTTACATGAAGTTAGATCCTCCCTAAACACAAAAGAAGAAAGCCACCAAATGCAAGTTGATGCTACTTCGACTACAACGAATGACATGAACAGCAATGACCAGCAGGAGCTCAAAGCCATGGTTGATGTCATTGCAGCAGCAAGTCAAAGAGAAGCTGAAGCACATGAAATGGCAATCATACTGGCTAAGGAGAATGATGAATTACGAGCTAAGATCAAGGTTTTACTCGAGGACAATAGTAAGTTGATAGATTTGTATGAAAGGGCAGCTGCAGAGACCAATGAAGTCAATAATTTAGATGCTCAAGGTGATGCCGATGAAGGCCAAAATACTGGATCTGGTGCTATTTCTCAGATAAAAGACGCCGAAATAAAAAGGCTGGAGGATTTAGAGCATCAACTTGCGGAAATGCATGATGAAAATGAGAAACTTATGAGTCTGTATGAGAAAGCAATGCAAGAAAGAGATGATATTAAAAGATTGCTTTCATCTGCTGTGCACAACAATACTGCAGAGAGAGGAGAATTCGAGTTCCCAGAAAAGCTTGTCGAGGTTGATGGAGGAAAATATGCGGGGTCTTCTGAATGTTTTGCTGAAAGCAGCAGTGGCATGAAAGACCAGCAAATTCTGTCTGCTGACACAGTGGTCTTAGAGGAAGCTGACACGTCTAAATGGAATGTGCAGAATACATGTGGCCAGTGTCCACCCGCTCCACTTATAACTGAAATTCAGATGGATGCGGGGTTGGATGAAATCCAGAATATTCATGAACAGCGTCCTATCCTGGAGGAAAATTCTTTTGGAACATGTGTTCAGGGCCAGTATGAGACTAATGAGAGTAATGTCTTGAAAATCCAATGTCCTGGTGATTCTCAGGATGATTTAGATACTAGGAGGGTGCACTTCAGAACTTATTCCGAGACATTAACAGAGGAGGAACTTGTCCTTGTAAAGAAGGAGCTGGAGAAGGCCCGAGAAAGGCTTTCAAATTCGGTCCACGCTGTCAGTGAATTTGAAACCATTGAGAAAGCAGTACTTCTAGTTGACGCAGTCTCGAGGGAGATTGATGCGTTAAAGGTTCTCTTGCAGTTCAAGCAACAGGAGATTGGATCCCTGAAACCTCTCTCATCAGAGACGCAGGATAGAAGTGCCCTTGTATTTAGAAAGCTTGCAGCACTTAAAGTTTCTATATCAAATATATCTTCATCTATTGCTTACTTCGAACAAAGAGAAGATAGAGCAAAGGCAAGAATGCATGACTCAATGTCATCCTTGGGCCAACAAAAGGAAAATCTAGTCCGTCTTCAGGTTCAAAGCAATGAAATCAATGCAAAAAGAAGAGAGATCCAAGAAACTGAAGTGGAACTGAGGAACAACTTGTGGCGCCTCAAATCTAAACTTGAGGAGGAAAACCAAAAACAAGAAAGTCAAAGAGTTCTCCTTGCCATTGATAACATTGAGAGAACCGAAGCTCCAGCTCTGATCTGCAGCAAGGCAACTGATTTGCTCAAATCTGAGGAAGAAAAAACCAAATTGCACAGCAAGATTAAGCAAACCCAGGAAAAACTTGGTGTCATCAAGAAGCAGGTTGATGATTTGAACAGGAAGGGCCAAAAGCTGGATAGTGAAATCCAAGTTAAAAATGTAGAGATGCAAAAGACTACAAAATTGGTGCAGGAAAGGGAACTTGCCCTTCAAAATGTCACTAATGAAAAGGAGATGCTTTTGGAGATGAAAGAGAATGGGAAGCCTGAGATTGATGACATGATAGTTGAATATCAGCAGTGTATCTTCGAAGAGCATTTCAGAGAAGAAGAGCTGATGATACTTGAAGAAGATATGTACATGTTGTCATTAAAATTAGCTATATTTGAGAGCGAAAGAGAAGTTGCGGTTAAGAGAGCAACCCAACTCTTGTACAGAGAGCAACACATAACAGGCCTTCCGTCTGAAAGAATGCGACAAGAACTTGAAGATGTTCAGAAATCAATTCTAGAAGCTAACACAATACTCTTAGCCGAAAAGCCAGCAGACTGTCAAGTGGTTTTGTCAGCCAGTTCCCATTTTGAAGCAGCTTAAATTTTGCTTTACCATGCTCGCTGTATGTACTATGTTAAAAGTCCAAGATTCATGTTGTACTGAAACTCACAATTCAAAAAGTAAATGACGAATTCAGTGATTAATTCATCACTCAAATCGCATAATTAATAATTCATGCTTTACAATTCACATACCAATGTTTCATTACTTGGCAAGTTTAATTAATTATCAATGTATTTATTACCATGTCTACTACTTGCACGGATGATCTTCAATTTGCATTATTGAACAAGATAAATGAAACTGTCACAATTCACAAGACACATTTTCTCATTCACATTGAAAACTTACATATAGACCTCTGGCCTCAAAACATTCAAATATTAGCTCTTGTAACAAAAAATTGAACTCGTATTCAACAAAATGAGGGAATAGATCATCACTCCGTACAATGAAGTAGTTAAAAAGACAAAATACAATTTTTCCTCTTCCAAAAATGATGACATTACTAAAGCAGAAAATTCTACACCTTCCGAGCGAGGGTCCTCTGCTTGGTTGCATGCTGAACTACTTTTTCCTCTACAGGTAGTCCTTTCCTCCGCCTCACAGCATCAATGAGCTTTCTGGCTGTATTCTGAACAACACTAGAACCATCTCCAAACTCTTCAATCTCTTCCTCTGTCTTAGGAACAAAAAAAGGATCCTCCATAAGCTGTTCCCAGTGACTAAGAACAAGAAGTGCACTTGATGACCCAGAAGTCCATTTCCTAAGCTCATCAGCAAACCCAAAGCTTTCAGCAACTGGCAAATAAGCATGCACAGTGAACAAAGGGGAACTTTCTTGCATTTCTTCCTTCACTACTCGGGCTCTCCTACGAGCAAGCACACCATACATGGAACCCAGATAATCAACTGGGGTGTTTAGTTCACAAAAGTACATAGCTTCAACAAGACGAGGTTTTCTCTGAAGTACAGCAGCTCTGCAAGCCTCTTTTACTGCAGTCATCACCTGACCAGTAAACATTCCATATTGTTCCATTAGTTGTTGAGAATTTTCAGGATCACTTGATTGAATAGATGCTGATGAAATGTAAGCCTCAACAAGAAATGCCAAACCCCACATAGGCTCATCACACAAAGGACCAGCTGAAGTTGCAATTTGAAAGCCAGACACCACACTACTTGCCAGACTAGCAGCTTCAGCATAAAGTGCAGAATTTGCCTCCACGGCACTATCAGAATTTCTAGTATCATCTACAAAACCTAGTTTTTCAGACACATGGGAGAATCCAGGCACAACTATGGCATCTTCAGTACTTTTTCCTATAGAATCTGGGGTAATAAGCAAATTAGGGCCAACCTGCCCAGGACCCAGAGCCCAGATCCTCTCAAGAAGTTGATCCCACAAAACTTTACACTTTTGAATCTTATCAGTTTCGTTTTCCGGAATAGCAGAAACAATATCGTTCTCCACAGCATCCCTTATGCGTTTCCTAAATGCTTCGAGAGGCTCATCATCTTCAGCAACAGAGCCTATCTGTGACTCCAACTTCTTATAAGTCTGACCAAGTTTACCACTTATGATTTCCCCAAGTGTGTCAGAATTTTCATTAAGCAGCTTCGTCAGAGCATTTGGAAGCTTCATGACTTGCACTCTAACAGTGCATCTTCCGTTAGATGTTGTCTTTTCAACATAATCTGTGTTTCCAGACAAGATTTTAAGATTATCTAATGGATTAGGCCCTTCACCCTCAATAGTCTCTTTGTAGGAGACAAGTGGTGGAGACACTTCCAGGCTCACCTTAGCAAATCTTTCCTTCAAATCCTTAATACATCTCTCAAGATGCACCTCTCCAGCAGCAGCAAGCACGTGTTCTCCCCTAGACGAGACTGAAACTTCCACAAATGGATCAGCACGATTCAGGAGCCTCAAGCCCTTCATGAGTGCACCCATATCTGCTGGATCAGAGGGCTCAATGGCAACTTTAAGCATAGGTGAAACCTGAAACATCAAGCTTGAGAAAGGCCAACAGTTCTTCGTCGATGAAAGTGTCGCACTTTTTAAGATATGATGCCCCAGTCCTCGTATAGCTACCACATTCCCAGCCGTGGCAGATGCAACAGGTGTAAGGCCCTGACCCATCATCAGATACAACGATTGCAATTCTGCTTCCTGCAAATGCTTCTGTGTTGCTTCTCCTTTCAATGGATCATACAAAGCTGAAAGAACATAGATTTTCTGCCCAGCAGTAAGGGTTCCACTAAAAATTCTAGCAAATGCAAGAAAACATTCATCTGACTCTGTATTGTTCCCATTTTCATCAGTAAAATCATTCAAAATGTCCCCATCTGGACCCTTATGAGGAATCATCTTCATAGGAACAGCAAACATCTTAGCAACAAAAGCAATAGTAGGTGCTTCAGAACTAGCAGCACAAGTTTCAACACACTTCCTCACATATTCAGCCTCTGAAAACACCTCAGATTTAGCTACCTCATCCACAACTTCTCTCTTTGGAAGCAAACGAGAGACTCGGTATGCCTGTGCAGCAACTGGATCCGGCATACATCTTATAACCATGGACAATATGGCCTCTGAGAGCGGAAGCCAACGACTCATAATAGCTTGAAGAACAATCTTAGGATCCTTATTATTCTTTTCACGGTCTGGCACTACTAACTTAAACCTCTTCATCACCTTCTCAATTATCCCCTTATCACCATCAGGCTCAAGAACCCCTTGATAAAACTGCCACAACGGTTTCAGTACACATTGAACAAACATAGGTTGAGCTGTACTCCCTTCACCCAACCCTTTCCTCCCCACTATCTTCCCTGTTTTAGGGTGACAATACCAAGGACCCCATAGAGCCTTCTTCATCGCCGCCGTTTTTAACTTAAACTGTTCAGCATAAAACTCGGCAAACTCTCCTACAGTAAACCCCCATCCATCCAAAGCACAAACAAAAGCCACATTACCCTTTTGAGGTTGAAACATTTCCTCTTCATCATCCTCAATCAACTCATGAATTTCATCAACACCCATTTCACTAGATGAGCCAGTAAGTATAGAATCTACATCTGACAAATATTTCTCTGATTTATATGCACTCACAATACTATTTACTTCATGAACTATAGTCAATAACCTATTATAAGCTTCCATTGGAGTTAACTTCAATTCACAAATCAACCTATCAATCTTATTCAAAACCAAACAAGGTGTTAGCTTCTCAACCCAAGCTTGCCTTAAAACAGCATGAGTTTGAATATGAACACCTTCAACAGCATCAACCAAAACTAACGCACCATCACTCAATCGAGCGGCGGTTGAAACTTCACTACAAAAATCCATATGACCAGGAGAATCAATCAAATTAATAGAATGGTTATTGTATTTAAGAGCAATTGAAGAACTTTTCATGGTAATTGCTCTACGTTGTTCTTCATCTAAATAATCCATGAATTTCATCTTACCTGCTTGTTTAGGATGCAAAACTCCTCCAGCAGAAGACGCAATTAGATGATCAGCAAGTGTAGTTTTGCCATGATCGACATGTGCAAGGATGCAGATGTTCCTCACTTGTTCTTGAGCAAACCCTAATTCCATTTTTTCCGATGAACAATTTGATGAATTGGGGATTTAGAAGAGACAAAAATTTTGTTGCCGGAAGTAAAGAAATGGTGGGTCAGTTGAAATCGGAAAGGTTTTGGGGGTTTTGCAATAATAGAAAGAACAACTACAAAATGTCACGGCACAGATTTAAATCAATGTTTCGACCATGGCAATCCCTAATCCTTGGTGCCCACGGCTACTACTTTAGTCATAAACTCGGTTTTTCCCCGGTTCGTGCAATGTACGAGTACGTAATAAATGAAATTGAGAATGAAAATAGTGCATGCTGTTTTTTTTTTTTTAATGATTAGAATTACACCAACTTAAGTTAAGTTTTGCGTCAATAATTTGAATTTTTAAAAATTGAAGTTAATTGAAATTTGAGGCTAATTATAATACAAGTGTCGATTACAAGGAGCATTGCACACTCGTTCTTCAACAATCAAGTTCAATATAATCTTCATCCTAATCATAATATGTGGTTTTTGGGCTAATAGAGCAATGTCTCAAGCTTCATTGTCATCGTCTAATACTACGAGCGTCACATTTCATCCAGACATTGAAGCTTGAGACAAGCTTGGATGAAATTGAAGCTTGAGACAAGCTTGGATGAAATTGAAGCTTGCAGCATTAGACGAAGACATTGAAGTTTGAGACGTTGCTTTATAAGCCCAAATTACTAATTATGATTAGAATGCAGATTATAGAGAACTTATTGTTAAATAACGAGTATGCAATGCTCCATGTGATTAACACTTTTTTTTCCTTCTACTTTCGTGTGCATGAGAAAAATAGTTTGTCAACATCAACCTATTTATAAGATTGTTTTTTTCTTTTTCGTTACGTTAATTATTTAATGAAAGCCATCAAGAAATTGAAGGTACTACATAGTACTTTTTGAAGTACTTTGTAACGTTTCAAGTTTTCAACAATAAACGAACCCATGAACAAAAAAAAAGAAAGTTGCAACTTCTATTATTTAATATGGAACGTTTGATTATGGAGTATTAAATGAAGCCATAAAAATCTTCAACGAGTTTCACTCTCCTTTTTTAGGAGTTTATTGACAATAAGAGTACATTTATGTTACGAAGTATACAAGTCATGTGGTACTTAGTTACTCACGTGACTATTAATCCGGGACAACAGATATTAGAAGTTTAGAACAAGGGTACACTTGTGAATTGTACTTTCTCCGATTCTCTTCCTTGTGACCGTGTAAGAGTCCTAGTCCTATTTGATTCAAGTGTGGTTGGCGTCTTGGCGACCCACCTTATTTATTTCCAACTAAATTAAAATTATAAATTTTAATTCTTCACCTCTTTCTTCCATTTACCTTCACAATTATCACCAAATTCCCCCAACTGTTTAATTCTCTCTCTTCAATTTTGCATCCATCGCAATTAATCAATCCCTAGATTCTACGAATTTCTGCTTCGATTTGATCTCAATTGTAACTTATTGATTTATAAAAACCCTAACTAATCGAAGGATTTTGCGAGATGTTTAACGGTATGATGGATCCTGAGTTGTTTCGGATTGCGCAAGAACAGATGAGTCGCATGTCTCCTGCTGAGATGGCTAAGATCCAACAGCAGGTTCTCCTTTGATTTAATTTTATTTTTCTTTCTTTTTTATTGTAGATTTTGTTGATTGTTCTTGATAATGTTTTTTTGAATTTTAATTTTTAGATGATCATGGAATTCGTTTTTTGTTTTGTTCTTGAGATGTAATTTTTGCTTCAATTTGAAATTAGCAGATGTAATTTTTGCTTCCACTTGAAATTAGCAGTGTCGTTAATTCCTCAATTATTGTTTTTTGGCTCAAAGTTCAATTTGGGGGTTTAATTTAGGGTGTTATATTGATTGAGAATTTGTTAATGAACTTGATACTAGTTGAGATTCTATCTTTCGCAATTGATCCTTTATTCGTATTGTACTAATGTGGAACTGAGGATCCTTTATTCGTATTGATCCTTTAAATCAAGTGAAAAGGAATTTTGGTGATTGACGGCTAGTTGTTTGTAATAATAGGAGAAAAAAGGTTTCGAATTGTTACTGGTTTTCGACTTTCTATAGGATTATGTGATTGACGACTAGTGTTGGGAGGTGATTCCAAGTTGGATGTAATCTATGCTATAAAATCAAGTGCATGTCTTATTTAGATCATTGTGTGGTGCTGATTTAGTGATATCGGATGTGTGTTTGTGGTGTTGTAGATGATGTCTAATCCGGAGTTGCTTAAGATGGCTTCGGAGGGTATGAAGAATATGAGGCCTGAGGACCTAAAGATGGCTGCAGAGCAAATGAAGAATGTACGTCCTGAAGAAATGGCTCAGATTGGTGAGAAGATGGCTAATTCATCCCCGGAAGAAATTGCATCAATGCGTGCACGTGCTGATGCTCAATTAGCCTACGAGTTAAATGCAGCTGAATTACTTAAAAAACAGGTAAGTCGATGCCAACAAATCAACAATGTCTTGCATGTTGTTAATATGGACATGTATTGAGATTGATCTTAAAAAAGTATTTTTGCATGGCCAGTGTAAGCTAGTTGGAGATTGTGGCATAGTCCGTACTCATGTAATATGACGTTATTAGTTTGCAAGTTAAGATCTTGATTTAGCACCTAGTAAAAATAGAGGTAACCATTACATGCTTCGGCTGCTCTGTTAGTTGAACCTGCATACTACTCCATGAATACCTTGCCTTGCTTAATATAAATACTTTTCATACAAACTTGCATCCTTGTCTATGTAATAGGCGCAAGCTAAAACAACTCACTTGCCGGGTCTGTCTAATACGTCATTTACAATCTTCTTCTAGCATAAAAAATTTCATATAAATGACCAATCATGTCATATTATACTCATAAATCAATACTTGGAGCTTTACTGTAAATTGAATTTTCTTGTTCATTAATTATATACTTTATCAAATTAGTTTTTTTTTTCAAAAAAAAAAAGAAAAGAAATTATTGTACTACCTAGTTTGCTTGTGCTTATAACATTTACAATCTTTCCAGGGAAATGACCTTCACAAACAGGGAAAATATCATGATGCAGCACAGAAATACTTGCGGGTGAGTGTTTTATTTGTATTCTTTATTGTTTAGATAGATTTTTGTTAGTGAAAATCTCATCAGCTGGCATCTTTATCTGCAGGCAAAGAACAACCTACAAGGGGCTCCAGTTGCCAGAAGTAGAGCATTGCAGTTAGCATGCTCACTCAATCTGATGTCATGTTATTTGAAAACTAGACAATTTAATGACTGCATCAAAGAAGGCAGTGAGGTATTTTTCAAATCATTATTAGGCCATAGGATGTTATCGTTCTAATGACCAGACCCCATATTACTCAATTTTGCAATGTAGGAAGGATATTACCAGCTATGTGCACTGAGTTCCTCTCTCCATTTTTATAGCTAGGGTAGGATAGAGAGATGATTGAAGTTTGCTCTTTTTCTTTCAGGTTTTGGCCTATGATGAAAAGAATGTCAAGGCCTTGTACCGTAGGGGTCAAGCATACAAAGAATTAGGTCAATTAGAGGTAATTTTTTATTATTGTTGTTATTTTTGCTTCTTTTTTTTTTTTTTTTTTTTTTTTTTTTTTTTTTTTTTTTTTTTTGCGTGTATGTATCTTATGTAGCCATGAGTTGTTGTATAAGGGCTTCAATGTACTCCATATATGTAAACTTTTGTATATATATATTTTTTCTAGGTTGCTGCCTCTGACCTGACTAGGGCACTTGAAGTTACCCCTGGTGATGACACGATTGCTGAAGTTTTAAGGTAAATCAGGTTTTTTTAATTATGACGTCGATTTTGACAACACATTATTTGTTGATTATGTTTGTCAGTGCAAACTGTGTCAAGATCTAGAAAATTTATAGCAGTTTTGTTAGGTTTTCTGTTATCATGCAAATTTTCAATCATTGAGCAAGAAGCATGTCTGAAATGAGGTTTTTCTCCTGTTTTACAGGGAGGTCAATGAAAGTCTAGGAAAAGAAGGTGTCACACGAACTTCTACAGGTATAATATTTCATGACTAGTTAGTGTTACAAAATATGCTGCTTTTAGTGTCATTCAGCCTTTTTAAGTTGAATCATTTATATTGATGGGTCTTACAGGATTGGTAATTGAAGAAATTACTGAAGAAGTTGAGGCTGTGTTAGTTTCAAATGATAAGAGAGCGTCTCAAGATTGTTCAGTTACTCACCCTGAGGAAAGCATTGGGCATTCTAAATATCAATCAGAAACTGTTAGTAAGAGACCAACGACAGAATCAGAATGTTTGCAGGCAATGAAAGATGATCCCGACACAATCAGGCAAGTTTTATAAATTTTTCTGTGTGTGTGTGTGATTTGGGGGTGGGGGGGGGGGGTTGGGGGGTGGGGTGGGGTGGGGGGGCAGAACTCCCACTTAACCAGGTGAATTATTGAACACCTCTTTTCTCTGTTAGTACTCGTGCTATGCACAAAAGTATTTGGATAAAGTAGTTGTAGAAAACCATAGTTCAACTCGTGTAAGTACTATAGTATTCATAATAAAGATTGTAAAAATTTATTTACATAATTTTTTTTTTCTGAGGGCAAATTTATATACGTACATAATATATTACTCATAATGATTATTGTTAAAAGGATATAACTCAATGTTAGTACTACGTGTATATACGAAGTACGTTAAAATAAGCAAAATCAAATGAAAGGTTTGTTTTAGTATTATTTATAGATATTTTTTAGTTGTTGAAGCAACATAATGTAGAATTCACAATGCTAGGCTGATTTAGAATTGCATATCTATTGTTGGCATATGACACTTTTCCTTGGTCATGACCTGAATTGAATTTCAAACAATTATGCTCTTGCATTTCTTAATGATTTCTAATCGCAGTCTCTGATGGAGAAATTATAAAATTTGAAGTTATAATTTTCAATGTCCTGCTACTGTGCTGCTTGAATGTGAAAGGACCGGTTAAGGACTTCTTATGTGACAGATAATAAATTGGTTGGTCTATTTTCTCTTGCCTGTCTGCAGATCCTTCCAGAATTTCATTTCCGAAACTGATCCTGAGGTTCTAGCCAGAATGAATATGGGAAACAATGGAGAGGTTCCTGCTGACATGCTGAAGACAGCATCAAATATGATTGGCCGAATGTCTCCAGAGGAACTCCAAAATATGATGAAAATGGCCTCCTCGTTTAAGGGTGATAATTCACCCTTTAATGGTAACTTTGGACCGGGCTCAGTTCCTCCAAATTTGTCACCCGAAATGCTGAAAACAGCAAGTGATATGATGGGTAAAATGTCACCGGAGGAAATTCAAAGGATGTTTGAGATGGCTTCTTCTTTGAAGCAGGACTCAGTTCCCAGCTCATCAGGTTCGTCAAGTGGCAGATCGAGTTCGGAGTCTGGCTCAAAGTTCACTGCAAATCGGGATGTACCTGTTGATAGAAATAATAGTATTGGTGAGAGGAACAGTATATCTGGCTCGTATACTAATTTTGGAAGTACTTCCCAATCAAGTATGCCTACATCTATGAGTGATATGCAAGAACAGATGAGAAATCAAATGAAAGATCCCGCCATGCGACAAGTGAGCTAGCTGCTAATTCTGTCTATTGAATTTAAAAGTGCATCTGATTAAAAATTTGAGATGTGCTATGCCTTAATATTGCTGATGAATTCCGTTTTGTTTGGCACCTATCAGATGTTCTCGTCGATGATGAAAAATATGAGCCCCGATATGATGGCCAGCATGAGTGAGCAATTTGGACTCAAGCTTTCCAAAGAAGATGCTGCAAAAGCTCAAGAAGCCATGTCGTCATTGTCACCTGAAGACCTAGATAAAATGGTACTTTCTGTTTCTATGGACTCTGCCTTAATCTACTCTAAACCACTCGCCAAAGTATACATTATCTCATAGAGGTCATGTTATCAACTTCAAACTGCACACCAAGATTTTGTTGCTTAAATTTGAAATTTTTGCTACCAATTCAATTATTTGGAAAGAATAGTTGGCTGATCTATCTAGCTGTAGAATCTCGCTCGTAGTCTCATTTACTTATTAACAAATGGAAGCATAATTTTACCTGAATATCTAACTCAATTAGTCACCCTGCCTGCTTTCATTCTAGGAAGAATCTCAGTCTATAGTTTAGAATTTGGATTGAGGAACTTATTTTGCTCAACCTTTTCATTTCCTGGTTTATAACTGTTTTTAACTCTCATAATTATTTTCTACCATAGTACTTATCATGTTTCATGCTCAAATTCAATCTGATGTCACTGCCTGATTTTTTCTCTATTGACATTTCTCCCTTCAATCTTTTTTTAGATGCGTTGGGCTGATAGAATTCAAAGAGGAGTAGAAGGTGCGAAAAAGACAAAGAACTGGCTACTGGGAAGACCGGGAATGATTATAGCCGTATGCATGCTTCTTCTGGCTGTTATCCTTCACTTTTTCGGCTTCATTGGTAGGTGATTTTTCAGGACAGTAAGATAAATCTCCTGTTATAACCGCTTGTACTTGCCGATATCAGCAAATCTAGGGCCGAACTTTTGGTGTTCAAGGGGTGTGTAAATCTTAAAGAAGAGATCGTCAACTTATGTATGTTAGCTAATGTGAGGTATCCTTTTATTTGTTTGAACCCCTGGCACTTTCTTTGAAGAAGAATTGGGGTATAAATTTTTTGATGGGTCTAACAAACGGCCCTCTAATCTAGTAATCTATCCAGCCTTCGTGTTACTGTAGACTGTAGTGTTCTGTTTTACAAGCTTCCCATTTTCTATAGTTCTAGTATGTCTGCACATTTTTCTTTTTTATCCCAGCTCTTTTTTTGGTGTTTAGAGAGCCACAAGGGCGGGATTCCAAGATCATTTCGGGAAGCTCTAACCACTTGAGTCTTCCTTCACTCTCACCCCAGCTCTTTGAGTTGTAGTTAGTTGATAATACTTCGTATATTGTCATTGACTTGACTTGTTTATGAGAATTTATGTAGTTTAATTTATCTTTGTATACTTGGCTCTTTCCTAGTTTCCTGTTACGGTTTTTATACTTTGAAACAACGAAGTAATCAAACTAACAAATTTATTTTGGTTGAGCTATTTACTTAGAATCGAGCTGACAATATTTGTTTATGCTTTTATTACTACTCTCTCTCACCCTTTCTCTTTCACCACTCACTACCTCATCTCATCACCACGATCAACCTGCGGAGAAAAATATTGCTATAGAATCATTAGTCATTAACTAATTTCTATCACTATCATACATGCATGATTCCAAAAACAATAATTATGTAATATAAGTATTTCAGACTATATTTATTAACGTATTGTTGAATTTGAAAAGTTTTATGTTTTTTTTTTTTTTCTCGGACATGATAAGGAAAAGAGGATATTAGGAGGTAATATTGACGAGGAGAAATCTTATGCTTCAGAAACATAACAAATACGACGTAGGAAATAAAGTTGATTCATTACAAGAAACAATATCAAGATAATCAGAAACTAAATGACCAACATTCACTATTCAATTTAATGGTTGAGATGTGACATATTTTACATTGTTTTATTATTCTTCGTATATTCTATTCCAAAGCTGTGTTTGATACTTAAGTCAAGGGTCACAATGCTTACAAAGTTCCAAGTCTTGTCCTTGTAACACGTCAGTTTGTTTTTGGATAATAAGATATTTAATTATTTATAAGTAAATGATTATACGAGTAGTGTTGTTTCATGCTTGTTTTGTCCTTAACGAAGTACTTAGAATTAAGTAAGCCCATACATTGATAAATATTTTATTATATGACCTCTGATGACAATAGATATTAGTATGTTACTCGTAGTTGATAGTTATAACTCTTATAACTCAAGTTATAGTGTTGAAAGAGTTGTATTGATTTATAACAGCCAAATAACTGATGGTGCAGCTTCCTTTTTTAGTAAAATAATTTGGTAATAGTGTTATATATATAATACTACGTTTTTTTTTTTTACAAGTATATACTTCGTATTATATTACTCTTTAGTACTTCGTATTACTTAAACTCCATTTGTTGTGACTTAAATTTCCATTTGTTTTATGAAAAAAACTCTGTATTTCCTTTTCATTGAACATAAAAGCTTACTTTAGTAGAATAGTAGTCACTCCCTTCGGTTGTTTAGTGACACCATGCATTATTTGTTTGATGCATATGAGATATGACTTTGCATTATTGTCATTGATGTAGTGGAAATGACTTTTGCACTATGTTACATAAACTTACTAATGCATTATTCCTCATGATCGTGCACATAAATTAACTAGTGTAATCTCAATATTCTTCTTTAAAAAATCTTGGTAATCATTCAATTAAAATTAAGGAGTTTTCTAATATGGGTGCATCTAAAGACTTAAAAGATTCTTATTTTAGACCACAAGCGGGATTTATTAGCAAAACGTTGATACAAATATGTTCTGAATCAAAGGTAGTCTCCACCAAGTAACACAATGAGCAACCACATTACCTCCTCGTCTCTCATTACTACATTTAAAAGAACTAAAAGCAACTCTAACACTAAACACACACCTCCTTGAACTCAGGTGCATCTCCTTCTTGGTCGCGCTAAATTTATGTGATAACTAACCTTCAAAGCATCGTGATAGAGTATAAAACATATTCCTGGGCCTCAACCATTACTTTAAGCTTTTGGTTGAGATGGTTCTCTAACATGGTATCTGAGCCAGCGTGACACAAAGGTCACAGGTTCGAATCTAATCCGCCCCTCTTTCAAAGTGGAATTAATTCGCACCAGGTATGGGTGGGCCTGTGTTGCATCCACATTTCAAGTCCAAAGGGCCTTTCATGTGATGGGGAGTGATAGATTATAAAACATATTTCTTGGCATCAACCATCAGCTTAAGCTTTTGATTGAGTTCGTCCACTAACACATCGTATCAAGCTCAACCTCATCAAAGTATAGTGTTTACCATTCTCATATTTACTCTCTTTTTTATATTGAGTTATTCACTTAATCTGACAATAAAGTTGAAAAAATATTTATTTTAATATATCATATTTTTCTACGGCCCAATGGGTACCCGTTAGACAAATCGATTAATAAATTAAATTCTTGTATCTTAGTTAAAATGGTCCTTCCAAGTTTTGGTATCACTAGCTAGGGGTGTACATAAACAGGACCAGACCTAAAAACCGACCTGACCCGGACCTGTTTGGACCGGACCTGACCCGGACCTGTAGATTTAGGTCCGGTCCCGATCCTTGAAAATCAAGGTTCCCGGTCCCGGTCCGGATCAGGTCCAAACCCGGGGTTTCCAGGTCTGGACCTGAAACCCGGTAAAAATGCCTTTTTTATTAAAAAAAAAAAAATCCAAATTTCAAAACAAGTCTGTTCATTTTTGTAACCCACTAACCCTAACTCACTCCTCACTCACGCACTCTCTCTCTCAGCCGACACCGACACCACACCAACACTCCTCCCTCACGCAGCAGATCTGCACAGACACCAGTCGCCACCGCCCACCAGACCAACAGCACGGAAACCTCTACACGCTGCATCAGCCAGACTACCATCTTCGTCCACCTGCACGAACTCCTTCACGGTGGGATTTGTAAGTTCTTTTTTTTGAATTAAATCGAATTATATTTGAATTGGATATTTTTTAATTTGAAATGTTGAATTAAATGTGTGGCATTCATATGTTTATTCATGTTTCAATTGCTAATAATGATTGTTTGATGTTTGCATGTTGAAATTCTTTTTTTAGTTCATTTTTTTCGAATTCATGTTTTTTTTTTAGTTTTTTATTTATTTAAAGTAACTGTTTTTGAATTTTTTTAGTTCAATTGTTTCGAATTCATGTTGAATTTTGGTTTCTTTCGATTTGTGAGTTTAAAATCTGTTTATATTGTGAATTTGCTGGGAGTAGATTGATAAATGAGGGATAGGCTACTCTACTTGTTGTATAACTTATGGAACAGTTTAAAATCTGTTTATATTTTCAGAATATATGCAATGTAGTATTCTGTGAATTTTTGTAAATTTGTTGGACAGTGTACTAATCAAATGGTGTATTGCACGGTTTGTACCACATGCTAGTGTATTGTATATTTTGTATGTATTCTGTTAAATTTGTGAATTCAATTTGAATTGTAATTGAATTCTATCATTTTATATGCTTAGGATCAACAAGAACCACGGATTATACTCATTAGTGTGAATCACGCAATCAAAGGGAAAGCAACTCGCCAAAATTCAAGTTGTCTTTGGATAATTAATGTATTTATAGTATTTGAGACTTAGAGACTTCATGTAATTTAATGAATTATTTGTTATATTTGAGACTTAGAGATTTTATGTAGTTTTTGTTATTGATATTTTTAGGTTTTATGTAAACAGATCCATAAACAGGTCTATAAACAGGTCCAACAGGTTATTTATTTTCTTTAAAAAAAAAACACACACACACACAAAACAGGTCTGTTCAGGTTTGGACCTGACCCGGACCTGATTGCTCAGGTCTGGACCTGACCCGGACCTGCTCTATCAGGTCCGTTCCCCGGTCCTCAAAATTGGCTGATTCAGGTCCCGGTCCTAACAGGTCCGGTCCAGGTCCGATCCGGTTTTGGACCGGTGTACAGCCCTATCACTGGCTAATATGCAAAGTACAAGTAATATTCATTGATAAGGAGCACCTTTGGCTTTATAGGCCGGCCAAATGCGACTTGCAAACGCAATCAAATTATAATTTTGGCATTTCAAAGAATATACTTCCCCACTTACTATATGCAGCCATCTTGAAAATTACCTTTGCTGACCTGGATTTGATTGTGACTTTTTTAAAAAAATTATTATTACTTGTATTAATTATTAAGAATATTTTTAGTGGTAGCTGACATTATTTGTAAGTATTATCCTAAGAAAATTAAATATTTTTTGCTTGGCCTCAGCATTCTTGTAAATTTCTAATCTAAGTATTTTAATTTTTATTTGTAATTGCTCTTTCCGCTCCTCGTAGACAAATGATTAGGTCTTATATGCCTTTTTAATTTTTAATTTATAAAAAGTTTGCTCAAATATATTTTTATACAAACCGACTTTCCTTTTTATTTAATAAGATTGTGACATGTATCAATTTTTCCAGTATCATTTTTATTTTGACTGGTTGAGATTACTAGGGTAACATTAATATTCCTTAATGTATTGAATTATATGCTTTTTTATAAGACCTATAACTTATAAAAGCAATGCCTATTATTAGTATTATCCTCTAATTTCTTTGCATTCAATTTTAATTCCAATTTGTTCACTATAGTTCATTTTTATTGATCTCGTGTCTAAAAAAAATTGAGTTTCTATTCAAGGACGAAAGGAGTATCTAAGTATGGAGTACGAGAACGAATATGTTTTCTTGGTACTCCATTAGTCCTCGATCCATTTGCATGCTATGCATGTAGGTAATCTAAGTACAAATTAAGGAGGAAATTTGGAGCTTTTTTATTTTTGGAAAAGATATTTGCACAAAGTTTGGTGGACGAAAGAATATACTCGTGTATGAACTATATATGAATTATTCTTCGTATATTATTAATAGAAAATCAGAATATATTTCAATTTGTTTATCATATTCATCTAATTATGGTTATTACATTATAATAATACGTAGTAGTAAGAGAAAAGCCAAATAGCTTTCCAAAATTATATTGACTAGTTAAAGGATTGAATTTCAATAGTAGTCCAAAATTTGTAAAACATACATGAAAAACAAGGAATATACGAAGTACATTGTACGGAGTATGCAGATTTATAGTCTAATCTGAAGTGAGACATTTTTTGGATTAAATTGTAGAAATATTTGTCATGTTGGTAATAGTCTTCTTGACTATTAATTCTGAAAAAAAATTGCAGTGAGTTTGGTGACCAGATCTAAATACCGTATTATAACTCGTATCCGTATAAGTATTTTTAGTCTTTTTTTTTTTTTTTGAGAGCAAAGTATTTTTAGTCTTAGCATAACTTGATTTTGTATGTAAATATAATCGAGGTTTCGTATATACCTTATCTCTGTCTTATATTAATTGGTCAAAATAAAACAAGGTACTTCGTATTAATTTATTTCTTGATATACATTCTTTTGAAAAAGATATAACTATGATTGTCAATATATTATTGAAAATTTATTAATAAATAGAAGTAAAAATTATATCCTAACTACTTGATATATTATTGGTATATCTAATATAAATCATAGTCCGCGTGCATTATATTATCCAATAAAAATCATATTCAATCTATGAATGAATTGTATATATTCCGTATAATGTATGTATGTATATTAGTATATATAAGCTTGTATGTGTTGTTATGTTGTCAACATCTAGATTTCTGGCAATGATCTCATTACAAAGCTTTTACGCGATGTAGATGAACCCCCTCAATGATTAGGAGCTCTTATTATTTATTAGTTTTACTAATTATTTTGAGAATGAGAGGGAAGGGTAAGGAAATCCCGCCCTCAAAGCGTTTTCAGTGGGAATTGAACCTCCAACCTCAAGGTTGAAAGACGACAACCTTACCACTAGAACAAGCTTAGCTTGGTTATACGTGGTAAGTTATTCCCATGGTACATGAAATGCAAATTTATAATCCCTCTGTTGTGTTAATAAAATATTAAATAAATAAATGAAATACTTCATATTACCCATATAGTATTTGAATTGAAACTAATATTCATACTATTCTACAGTTGTTTGCTTCTCTCATTATCATGATTCACAGAGTAATCCCAAGATGTAAAAAGTACAGTCCATGCATATTTTTTTAGCAAAAATATTGATTTGTTTTATTTTGTAAGCAATTTAAACCACTCAGATAGCTCTCAAGCTAGCTACTTCAGTATTAAATTTGGCGGCTAACTAAGGAATAGGATCAACTTCTTTTTTCGTGGCTGAATTTAATTGTACTTCGCCATTCAACCTGCTCTCATACATTTATTTTCAGTTTAGTTCAGCTCACTTCAATTTAGCTCTTAATTTCCTTTTTTTATAAAATATTCATTTCAGTTCAGTTCAGCTCAACTGATTTCAGTCTATTAGAATAGACCCTTATTAACTACTACGACTGCCAAATTATAGAAAATAAAAATAGGATTAGTTTTCAATTTAGTGCCTGAGCCACTCTTTCAGTTCCAATAAATTCAGTTCAGTTCAGCTCAGCCTTGTTCAACTCAGTTTAGCTAATCAGAACAGGCCCATACTCAAATCACTGAACCGGACCTAATTCGACCCAAAGTGGCAAAGCCTATGGACCCGGCTTGACCCACATGGACACATCCATATTTTCTCTCTAGTATTTTCTTTCAATAATTTTGTAAAAAAAATGTAGAAAAATATGAATGACAAAGTAAAATGACAGGTGGCAGATGTGAAAGAAAGAATAGATAGGTAAAATGAAATGAGGGAGATGGATGATTAGACCTGTCCCTGAAAACATGAGTAGGATTGACCACCACCACGCAAATCAAGCCAAAATCCAATCCAGTCAACCCAAACATCTTACCAACAGACCTTCCAGATATGTACCACTTCTCCTTACTTACGTGGATCCATCTATCTTACTACTACTACTTGCACCTTCATTCTCGAGCAATTCTTCTTACTGTTTATACACTAATACCCCACTCTTTCTATTCCACCAACCTCAAATACTCCCTAATCATTTCCTCCTCCTTTCTCAAATCAAACTTATTAATAGTGTCCTTGTAAGCTAATCCAGTAATCCTAATAAGATTTCCAATTAACTCAATAGTGCATTGTAATTCAAACAACACATCATACTTTGTTTGACGTTGTTTATATTTTTACAAATTGAAGATTTCAAGTTTTCAAATGATATAATCAAGTAGTAATTTTGAGTATTAATATGCTTTTATACCTGTAATATTTTCTTGTGTTGTATTTCTAGATGCAAATTCATAGACAAATGACATAATTTTCAAACCATTTAGATCAAACATGAAAGACGTGATATGTGTTTTCTTAACAGTTTACGATAGAGGAGTTTTAAAGACTCTTTTAAATAAAGCGAACTTCTTATATGAATTGCAATTGCTTGTTTATTTATTAAACCTTTATAAACAAAAATTATTTTTATTGAGAATCTTCAATATAAAAAAATTAGTATAACTATTAGTACTAAGAATAAGACCAATTTTAAGATAATCAAACAATGATACAAATCGTATAATGATGAAATTTAACCCAAAAATGTCCCTAATGCAATCGACCACTCTTTTACAATATCCTTTATTTATGTATGTGGAGGCCGGAGACTAAGTGGAGCTCTACAAATGACCACATGCTGCACATCACAACCAATTTTACAATAAATTTACCATTTAAACAATCTTTAATTTAAACCAAAAATCAATAAATAACTCAAACTAATATGGTACCTAACATGCTCTAAGATATATCCCCTTTTTTACTCAAATCAAATCAAATTTACGATATAATATTTTAATCTTTTTATCTCTATTCATTCATTATACTACTACTTTGATTCTTTACCTATTTAAAAAGATTAATATAACAAAATTTTAAGATGAAAAGAATCTGAACCACAGAATAACTTAAACCCGTCGATATTTTTAAATCCAAAAAAAATCTACCAACACCAACAGTAGTAGAGTACTAGTGATAAAAGTTAAACGATTAATTTTTTTAATTAATTAATTAATAACCGAAAGTAAAGGCACCCGCCCGGAGTGGAGTATATATATTCACCTCTTCCCCCCTTTTTCTCTCTCCCAAATACTCATTATTATTCCTCTCTCTTCTTCCTGCTATTTTACTTCTATTTTTTTCACTTCAAATCAATTTTTTTCTCAATTCTTCTTAATAATTCGCCATTTTTATTGGAATTTCAAGCTTAATTCTTCTAGTTCGTCAAATTTTCTCTCTCATGACCGGTCAAATCGTGATCAAATCATCAACAATGGCGTCAACTCGGCGTCAACCGCTTCTCACTAAAACCCTAACATCTCCGAAAAAGTCGTCGTCAAATGTCGGAGAAGTTGCCGGAGTTACGACGGCGAATTGCGTCGCTGTTTGCTGTTGTTGTCCATGTATTCTGGTGGAATTTATAATCCTGGCCGTCTACAAAGTTCCGGTGAATCTCTGCCGTCGGATGCTTCGGCGAAGGCGAAAGATGATGAAAAGGAAGAAGATGAAGAAAGGGCTTCTAGAAGAAGCGAAGGAGGTAGGATCTGGTGTAAGTGAAGTGTACTATAAGACTGGATTTGTTGATGAATTTTCAGAGGTTTATAAGAAGGAATTTGAGATGATCAAAGTTTCAGTTGATGGATCAACGGTCGAATTGGAACGAAAGATGTGGGAACAGTTTCATGATACTGGATTCTGGAGAAGTTCTTCTCAAAGATTTTCTTGATTTTTTTTTTTTTTTTTTTTGGGGGGGGGGGAATTGGGTTGGGAATCTTCAATCTTGGGGTGATGTAATGTGCGGTTGTATGCACCGTAAGATTGGTGTGGAAGTGCTCTTGAATGGTGGGCCGCCACTATGGTGTGGTAATTGGGGGATAAAAAAGTGTAAATATACAAAATATTGTAAATAATTTTATTTTTTTTAGTATACTTGATTGATGAATTACTATGAATATATGATCAATGATCATTACTTGAGTTTTGAGTGTTTTGTAGCTTTCTAAAGCATTGCGCAATTATTGTAATTGGCTATTGTAAAGTGTTTAGCTATACTAATTGAAACTAAGATTTGGTTTAGGTATTTAATTTGGTAAATGATTCTTGAACTTGCCTAATAGTAGGCTTGGCTTACATTGGTATATTGATAAGTACTCATAACAATTAACGAAATCCAATTGCATTTATCTCCGAGCCTTCTACTAGAAAACAAGATGATCCCAAGTTCTTTCACTCCATTCAAACATTACAAAAACTCTAAAATAACATGTTTGGTTGTGTATTGAATTTGTAAGGCTTTACACTTTATATTTCTACTACCTAAACTATCTAATTCGAACTTTTTTTAAAAAAAAATATGAGTATAATTAGTGAATATTAGAGGTGGGTATAAGCCGTGTCAGCTCGCGAGCGGCCCGGCACGGTACGACATGGTGACCGAGGAGTGGGTCGTGCCTTGAACACAATTTCGAATCTGGCATGAGCACGGCAAGAACTCGCGGGCGGCACAGCAGTTTGGCCCGCCAGGCACGGCCTGACACGACCATAAAATAACATAAATAATAATAAAGAACTATAATAATTAAAATAAGAATAATAAAAAGAACAATAATAAGATAATGATAAAAAAAAAACCATGAATTAATAAAATTATTTAAATAGTATATTCATTTTAAAAGTAGTTTTAAAAAATTAAAAATAAAAATATTATGGACGGTCCAGTGCCCAGCACGGCGAGGCACGGCCCGCGACGATCCGACACGACACATTGCCCACCTCTAGTAAATATAAGCTAAACGGAATAAAAGATGACCTTAGTTTGTTTATACTTGTACTTAGTATTACTTATTATGATCGGAATAGTTGTAGTCTATGTAATGAGTGCTCCTTGCACTAATGGACTTAAATTGAATGTATTCTCATGAGTCTTTATAATTATGAATAAGGTTAATTAGATGAATAGAGCATTACTTGAATAAAGTTTGAGGCATGAGTATATGTCTTGTACTTGAAATTAGGTGATACATCAGTACATCACACCTTTATAATTAGTACCAAATACCATAGACCTATATTGGCTCACTTTTATTAAAGAATCATGATAATTAAAACCTCACAACAAGAGTCAAACCAAGAAACAAAAGTTATTTAATTGCACGATTGCAAACTTACACCAAAATCCTACTATTTTTTTAAGTAACCCATTGATACTTTTCAAATTTCATCCGTGTCATGTTTGACCCTTATTAAATGCTCATATTACAAAATTTTACTCTAGAAATTTTATTTTCATTTCATCTTATTTTTGCTCAATTATTTATTTTTTTTTAGTTTTATAAACTCAAATTATTATTATTTTTTTAAGGAATGAACTCAAATTATTATTATTGAACTAATATTTTATTTTGCTGAATTTAAAATAATTTTTACTGAACTAAAATTATTTTTATTAATTGTCTATTATATTTCTTCGTTGGTCCCATTTGGTGGTAGCAGTTAGCGTTTTGACCATTCAAAACACTACTAAAAAAAACTTGAAAGTGTTTGGCAAGGTAGCGATTTTAATAGCAGTTAACAATAGAGGTAACGTTTAGGTAGCTTTTCTCAAACGTTAAAAATAGTAGCGCTTAGAAGTAGCGGGTAGCGTTTGACAAATTATAATTACTTTTTAAATAATATTTACATGAAGTTTGATGTACTTTAGTACTGCAACCGCTATTTTTGCCAAACACTCATATTATCAACCGTTACTTTAATAGCTAATCTCTATCCATTACTGATTGACAGCTACTCGCTACCTTAACAATTACTCGCTATCTTAACAGCTAAAAGCTACCTATTACATCTACTTTTTGCCAAACAGGACCTTTAAAGTTACTGTATTTTAATAAACAGAAATTATTTTTGCATTTTTATAAGGTAAAACGAACAGATCTTATTTCAGTAAAAAATTCAAAGTAAGTATAACGAGTAAAACCGCAAAATTTGTTTATCAAATGGCAAAATTGTAAATAAATGAACAAATTTTTATTAAATATGGGTCATACTGTTGTTGACAGATTTACGAAAATGCCATGATAACTTGACATTTATGTTGTAGTATTTTATTTATAATTATGTCATTTGATAAACAAATTTTGTTTATCAAATTGATTAAGTGGGTAAAAATCATGTGTCATGTAAACAAACAAAGGGATTATTTTTAAAACGAAAAACAAATAAAAACGGAGGGAGTAAAGCCGTCTTCCGGTAATGCCAACTGGCACAGACACGTCGTTATCCACTATCTTATATCCCAAAAAAATCAACCCAAAACAATCAACAACGGGCATAAACCGTTTCTTTGCCAGACGTCACCCTAATACTTGCCTAAAAAACTAATTCACTTTAACACTGGTCAAATACAAAGAAAGCAACCCAATTAAAATTCAATTTCATTTTCCATTACTAATTAAAATTCAATTAATCAAAGTAACTTCTATTTCACCCAAACTCACAGGAAAACCCAAAAATCCAAAATTCAATATTATCACGTTCACGCCAGATATTTGCCGTCTTTTCTTTTCTTTTCTTCCTTTTTCCATTTTCTCTCTCCTCTTTTATCCACCAATTTTCTTTTTCTTCTTACGAATGACGGGTCGAATTCTTATACGATCAACACATATAATGCCTCAAAATCGCCATTTATCTCCTCCCGCCGGAACCCTAAATCCGGCGGAACCAACGGCGAGAACCCGGAAAAAGTCGTTATCGAACGTCGGAGAAGTCGCCGGAGGAACAGCGGCGAATTGCGTAGTGGTATCATGTTGTTGCCCTTGCGTTTTAATGGAGTGTTTAATCTTGGCCGTTTATAAAGTACCGGCGTCTATCTGCCGTCGGATGTGGCGGAAGAAACGACAAAAATTGTTGATGAAGAAGAAGAAGAAGAAAAGGGTGTTGGTTGAAGCGAAAGAGGGGGGTTCTAGTGTAGGTGAGGCGCACAATAAGAATTATGTGGATGAAGTGTCGGATTTTGATTGGAAGGCTTTTGAGATGATTAAAGTTTCGACGGATGGTTCAGCGGTTGAGTTGGATAAACAGATGTGGGACCGCTTTAGTAATACCGGGTTTTGGAGAAGCCCTTCTCAAAGATATGATGATGATGATGATCAAGTTGTTTGTCAAGTTTGTGATCATGATCAATGACACTTTGGTTTGAATCAGTCATGTCGTGTTGAGTTGAATTGAATCAAATTGAATTTATTGAATTTTGAGTTGCATGGAACGATTGACTTGCACACGAATGACACCATGGTTCGAGTACGACATTTGATTATTCATTCGTGTTGAAATGAATCGGATTAAGGACAAGTCGTATAATATGAATGTACGAGTGGTCGTACGTCAATGGTATTATTGTTTGTACTCCGTAATTGGATTGGATTATTAGAGAAGTATGTTGTGTTGGATTTGTTGATGGTTTGATTAGGTGTTTGCTTCCCAAATTTTGATACCGTAAGGTTAGGCGGAAGCACCACAATCGGTGGATTGTTAAATGTAGTTTCGTTTTGTTTACGTATATCCTTTTGAGTTAAAGTATATTGTTTCATGTCATCGCATGTTTGTGAAGGGCAATAAAGCTGATTGCAAAATAAAACTAATTTCAAAGTTTTTTTTTGTCTTTTCCATATACTTCGTATATGGTTGTGAAGTTTATGTGCTTAATCATTGTATCAATAGAGAGTAGTTGTTTTATGAAATTGAATTATGATTCGTAATTTCATTGTGTTCTATATTGCAAAATTTTCCTTGTACATAGTAGAGTATTTTGTTCTGAAAATCCTTTTTTCAATAAATATTTTGTAATTGAGCTTGTTAATCATGGAGAATGTTTTATGGTAACTCTTGTTGATAAGGGCACAACGACTTGCAATTTTTCATGCTAAAAGGGTGGAATTTAAGTTCACTTCACTAACTAGAATGTATTCCGTACTACTATCATATCTATCATCATGGTTGGATATAATCACAATAAAACAATTACTCCATTTTGATGATCTTCAACATTGACTTGTGTAATACTTCGTATTTAATTTCATTATCTTTGTGTTGTGTTGACCATTTTCTTACTATAAAATTGTATGTTATCATGGAGATATGAATTTGTCTTGATTGGATTTGTTGTAATGTATATATTTTCCAAATATTAATGACATCTTGTTAATAAATCATATTTTAAATAAGTTATTGAGAGATTGTTATATATACCCAAGAGTACCGTTAAATTGAGAGATTGCTATATATACCCAAGAGCACCGTATAATAAAGAACAAAAACTAATTTTTGGTTAGTTGAGTATACTCCTATACAAGTATACGGTGCACCCGTATACATATAACAAATTCTACAAGTTATCTATTGAAATTATGTGTGGACAAACATAAAAGCTAACTTACATATACAATCATATCCCTTTGAGTTTAATTGGGCTGAGCAAAGTGATCGAGTTTAATGTGGTGCTCCGTACTTCGCAATTGCAATTGCAATTGCATACTATATTACTATTAACCCGAATAGAGAGTGATTGGACCTCTGTTGGCTCTGTAGCCTTGGTCCTTATTGGGCCTAACATAGGGAATCAATGCCAATAGTTTAGCAATGTTCTAGATTCTTTGAATTTCGGCCATACTTCACCAACTATCATGATAAACATTGAACGACTAGGGAACTCCTAGAATGTACAGATTAAATTTATACTCTCTCTGTTTCTAAATACTTGTTCCATTTCTTTATGTGTGTAGTTTTAAGAGAAATTGAAGAAAATAATAAATTATGGAAAAAGTGGGATAGGTGGAAGTATAAAAAAATTGTAAAAACTAAAAGTAGTTGATAGAATTGGAAGTGAGATTGTGAGAGAATATGCAATAATAAAATATAATTTATGTTGAGTCTATTAGTTGAGAAAAATGAACTAAATATTGTAAAGACTTTTCAAATAAGAAAACTGAGCAATTATTTGACAACGTCAGGAAAAAAAAATGGAACAAATATTTAAAAATGAAGGGAATATTATTTTTATCTCTTATAAAAAATTATACCGTAGATGTCACTTTTTACTACACTTTGGTAACTTTATTCCATCAAGATAGGTATTCAATCCCTAGAATCTTTGTGATTTTGGAGAATAGTATTGATCACAAAACACATATGAAAGTTTTTTTTTTTTTTTTTTTTTTTTTTTTTTTTTTGGTTTGAAAATTATAAAACTATGAATCAAGTAATTCCTTCCAAAAAAAAAAATTTTAATCCGAACCTTTCAGTCATTTCTTAGATTATGATCTTACAAGGTATATATGATGATCGGATTCTTATACTCCATGATATTTTCAATGGATCCAACTCATCCAAGAGTTACGCGTGCATACTTGGAGAGTCGGGACTATTATAAGGAATCGAAATTATAGTATCACACTATCACATACGAAGTAGTTTATTAAGAGAATACGATTACACATTGAAATTATTATCAAGTTATTAATGTTTGTGGTGTGTAATTACCCTCAAGAGTTATGATAGACAACAAGCTTAATGATTGTAACAGTGTACATCTTTAAAACATGAAGAAAAACAGAATTGGTCCGCTGCAATTATCTTTGGACAATTGGGTAGATTGTAAGTTTATGGGCCCAGGAATCCCTTATTGTATGGGCCCAACTATCTCAAGCTTGAATTTGGACCTCAGTGCCTCTATCTGCTTGTCCATCTACTTTCCCATCAAACAAATTATCCAACCGCTTAATCTTACGGACTACGGAGTACATCGTACATTCGTACTACACTCCGTTATGCTTTTTAAAAATGTTTCATTTTAGGTATGTGTACATTTTTTTTATGGTTGGTAAGGCATATGGTATGTTTCATAGGTCCTTCCGGCTTAGGTTAGTAGACTAGTCACTTTAAAAGTAGTGAGGTGGGATGGTAAGGGAATCCTCACCTTCAAAGTGCTTTTAGTAGGGTTTAATTCTACAAATTTTATCATTATATTAAACTATGCTTTGGTACGTGTGTATCAAAATGTTATCGTGTAGAATGTTATACTACGTATATTTTTTTTCAATATATTTACATCATACAATTCACATGCGTAATTGAATATACTTATACTGAGTACTACTTCGTAAAAGACTATGTTGAAATCCTAATAAATTACGGAGTACTTTTGAGAATGGGAGTGGTAGTTATTCCTTTTAGTGGAGTACTAACTAACCTCTCCAAGCATGATGCCACTGTTAGAGGCTTAAAACTATTGAAGATATCATGTTTATGCAATATCACATCACTTCCAACATAACCTAATTTATTAAGCCAAACTGGATAGTGCAAGTGTGCGACAATTACAAATGATGATGGCCTCTTAAATTTGTGGCTACCTAAGCAGTACATGTGAGGCCTTCTTTAGAAGGCCTGTGAATTACTACTACTCTGTATATCTTGAAGTTAATCTTCTCTTGTCGGAAAAAAAAAAGAAGTTAATCTTCAACCATCCTTAATCCTTTGGAGCATTTTTCTATATAGATGTGCACACCGATGGTAATTAATGCCATTCATTTAATTTATTTATAAACTTAATTATATTATATTGATGAAAGCTAACAGTACAAGTTATATTTATGAGATTTCACATAAATCCTTAATGATGATTATGTGCAACAGTGGTTTTTTTTTTAAGAAAATGTGATGTATAATATGCTTTGTGTAAGATACATGGATAACAAAGTGGAATGGGAGAAAATAAATGGTGAATGAGTTAATAATCCATGATGTTTTTCCTTATTACTACTACGTATTTGGTATGAGTTAGTTTAAAAAATTGTAATAAGTAACAAAGTTGCCAAATTATTCTTATTCAGTCTCTCTTTATCCCCCTCGTAATTTTTGCTAAAACTTAAGTTAGTTTGTCTTCTTATTAGAAAAGTATCATGTGGCTTATGAATTGTTTTTGATTCAGAATGCTTTTTAATATAATCTATATAACATACTCCACATAATATAGATTAGTTTAAGGCATTGTTCAAATCATCTAATAGTTATTGAATTTAAATTTTTTTCCTAAATTTTATGTGATAATTTTTTGTTGAATTTAAATAGATTATAAGTAACTTACATATATTGTGTTCGTTTTACCGAAATAAATACATTTATCGAAGAGAACAACCCTAAATCGAATATAGTCACACTCTTCTCAAGTCTTTTAATTAGTGGAAACCAAATAAGGTTAACATTGACAAACTATGCACTTTATTTTTTTGTTGGTAATCAACACTCATGTTTGAAAAGAAGAAAAATAAACATATTTAGCAAATATGACACAAACCACCGAAGAAATAATCACTCAACATTGACAAATGAATAATTTGATGATTGTTACATAAAACAAAATTGCCGCGTGGAAGAAGCTGAGTGAATGACCTAGCTTTAAAACTCCGTGGGTTTAAACACCGCGTTTTAAGATTTTCTGTAATAAAAAATTGAATATATAGAAAGAAATAAAAACAAAAAAAAAAATGAAAAGAAAAAAGATGAACTAAAGTAGACTAGTCTTCCTTTTCTCTTCCACTATTCATCCTCTCCATATTCCTCATTTCTTCCATTTTCTCTCTCCTCCCTTCTTTCTCTCTCTAGGGTTTCTATCCTTCAATCCATTTGTTTTCATCTATACGATCTGTATCTGAATTTCAATTGAAGTTTCTCAATCGATTATCTTGCCCTAATTTTATCAGTAATTTGAGTTGATGGAGGTAATTTTTTTTTTTTAATTTGATTCATTTTTTGTATTAATTCCGAATTTTAGGGTTTATTGAGGTTTATATTAGGTTGAATTAGCTGGTTTGTGCTGTAATTGTTGTTTATGTTTTAGTTTGTTGAATTTGATCGGTTGGATTGACTTGTGTTTACTTGGATGGATAATTCGAGTTGACTCTTAGGTTTTCTTAGTTGTTTTTACGTGGATGTTGCGATTTAGAATCGTTGGAGAAATAATTGGATGTTTTTGTGGAATTTTTTTTGTGATTATCTGAAATTTGAGGGTTTTTTGGGGTTTTGATAGGTTCCAATGGAGGAGAACAAGAAGTTGGAGGAGGCGAAATTAACGTCGGCTGCCGCGTTCGTAGAAGGCGGCATTCAAGAAGCTTGTGATGATGCTTGTAGTATTTGTCTTGAGGAGTTTTGTGATAGTGATCCTTCGACGGTAATTATACATTGTGTGCTTATTCTTTGTTATTGAGTTTTTCTTTGAATGGGAACCTGTGAATGTTTAGAGCTGATTTGTGAATTAATACTTTTTAAAACTTGCAGGTGACGGGATGTAAGCACGAGTTTCATCTGCAGTGTATTCTCGAATGGTAATCATGCTCGGTTTTTCTGTGTTTTGTGTTTTGTAGAATCATTAGGGTTTGGTTTTGGCCTTAATTGGAATTGAGGAACAATAGAAAGTATGGCGCTGTGCTATGATATGACATGAATCATGGATTGTGCAACTATTAATTGTCTTTAAGGACTGTTCTATTGGATAAAGCTTGCTCATTTTCAGAGATGGGGGAGGGTTCATTAAGTTACTGGGTCTATCAAGTTATTGCATGGGTATTTGTATTACAGAGCCTAACAGGATTATTATTGATCAACTTGAGTAGTTACTCATTTCGGGCGACTGGTGAGATTAGAAGCTTAGCTGTCCGGCTGTTCTATTACGGCCCTACATTGTTGTATTGGCTTTGTGAAGAAATGTAGTATGAAAAATGCCAGTGGATTGTGGATAGGTGCGTCTGTTGTTTGTGAGTTGAATCTTGTGTAACCATCTGCTTGTTTTAAGTAATTGTCCTAGAATTGCAGTATGTGGTAGCCAAGAATTGTACTTTGATCTATGATTTTTGGATGTGGGAAATGCTTTATATTCTCTCAGCTAAGATGATAGTTTCAGTAGTTGATGTGAACTGTTTATTATGATAGCGGAACTAGTACCGCTCTTAGATTTGCGGGTGTGTCTGTAAATACCTGAATCAAGTGTGTTGGCTGGAAAAGTTATTGTGATATATGTTTCCGGCGAGGATAAATCGTGTTTTATTATTCTTGAAAAAGCATATACTACCTCCGTTTCATATTATTAGCAACGATTTGACATAAAGTAGAGAGGAAAAATGTCTAATCGTTGCAAATAATATGTAACGGAGGTAGTACAAGTAATATTAAATCTTATTCATGGAACTTGCTTTTGTTCTAGTTCAAGTGGTTGCTATAGACACTGATGTTTAGATATCTACGCCCTATATTCCTTGCAGGTGCCAGAGAAGTTCTCAGTGCCCAATGTGTTGGCAGCCTATCAGCTTGAAGGATCCTACAGGGTTTGCACTATAATCTTTTTGTCTAATTATGCTTTTGGTTTACTAGAAAGTTTCTCACAACTTTTTTGGTTTTAATGTTTGACTCTCTGCAGCCAAGAATTGTTAGATGCTGTAGTACAGGAGAGAAACATCAGGCTTAACCCACCGAGAAATGCAGCAATATTTCACCATCCAGCGCTAGGCAATTTTGAGATACAGCATGTAAGTAGACAGCTCTTTCAATCCTCTTCCTTGTTGCCAATTTTTTCTCGGGGATGGACTTTTCCTTTTACTTCTCTTTACCCTCATTTACATGCATTGCAGTTGCCTGTTGGTGTTAATGATGCTGAATTGGAGGAGCGCATAATTCAGCACTTAGCTGCTGCTGCTGCTATGGGCCGTGCTCGTCATTTTGCTAGAAGAGAAGGCCACAGAGGAAGATCTTCAAATCAAGGCCGTCCACATTTTCTGGTGTTCTCTGCTCAACCTGATGGCCAGACTGGTTCTGTCTCTCTTCCTGAAGGAGGGCAGGCTGAATCTACTCCAGCCAGTTCAGCTGTTACGCCTTCATTGCTCAGAATTGGAGGAGAAGCATCGCCGCATCTATCCTTGCCTAATTATTCAAGCCACACAGACATGGTTTCTGCCTCTGGAACTAGTGCCGGCCGTGCATCACCCTCAGACAGTGGGTTAGTGATGTGACCTTCTCAGTATATGATCATTTTGCCCACTCTCCCCCCCCCCTACGCACACGCATACACAAAAATTTACATAGGATTACAAAGGGAATATATATATATTTCACTTGTGTTTCCGTTGCTATTTATTCAATCATCATATTTTAATACCTGTACTCTGTCTCATTGTCTTAGAAGTTCTCCCAGTCAATCTTCACCAAGAAGTCAAGATAGAGCAGGTCCATCTGATCTCCAAACGTTTTCAGAAACTCTCAAGTCTCGGCTTAATGCGATGTCTTCTAGGTACTAAACATGTTAAAATTTTAAGTGACCTCCAAACCTGATATATTATTTAAACTTCTTTAATTATCTTTGATGTTTTAAATAGGTACAAAGAGTCTATCTCCAAGAGTACAAGAGGGTGGAAGGAAAGGTGGTTTTCCCGCAATTCTCCTATGACTGATATTGGTTCTGAAGTAAGGAGAGAAGTGAATGCTGGAATTGCAACTGTGTCTAGAATGATGGAACGTCTGGAAACTAGGGATGATGAGAGACCCAGCAATGAATCTGTATCTGACAGTTCTGAGAGCAGTCAAGCTCGAGACCCTGTTACCGAACATGAGGTCGACTCAGTTGCATCTCCTGAAGAGAATCATTTGAGTGACAACAGGACGCAAGCAGCATGTGCTGCACATTCTGGTTCTGAATGAGGATAATGTTGGCCATTGCATCAACTTATAGTGTTAGATGTTGAAGGTTAGTCTTATAGCCCAAATCATTTCATTCTCTTTAAATAACTGCTTGTAAAATCTTTGCTGCTTGATAAATTTGTGCATGGTAATGAATTTTACGATCATTCTTCACTCTGTAGTGTACTGTTTTTGAAGTTGATTTTTTTTTTTTAATACCTGACCAGTGAAAATATTGGACTTTTGTACCAGCATATAGTTTTCTGAGCTAAACAAATGAAATGGTTTCTCCAAGAGGGGGGGGGGGGGGGGGGGGGGGGGGGGGGGAGTTGATTATGTCATTTCTGTATCATCCATGGCAAAGAGACTTGGAGGAAAAATATATCATATGGTAGAGTGTACTTTTGGGAGTTGGATAGTAGTAATATTGAGTTGGGAAGAGTGTGGGGATTGTCTTCTTGATTGAGAGTTGATGTTTTTCTTTGAGGTGAGACTGAAGTAGTGTAAACTTCTTTCTAAATGTTTCTTTATTAATTATGACATATTGGGGTTTTATAACATCATATCAAGCATCACTTTTTGTTAAATTCGTCCAACTTTGTTGTGGTATTTAATTCCAAATCAATAAATATTGCAATGTATGAATAGGTTGTGAGAAGCAACCTTTTTTTTTAATTTTTTTTTATAAAAAAAGTCTCCTTTTATTTTTTTATTTTACTTATATAATCCACCTTTCTTATGTAATTTTTTGTAAGTAAACCACCTTATGTTTTTCTTTGTGGGAATACTGGATACCACTTGTTGAATTTCTTTTATACCAAATCACCTTTATATCATTTTTCAAGTGACTTAACCACCACCTTTTGGGATTTTACAATGAAAAAGGCACTGATTAGCATAATATTAGCCATGTAAGCTGCATAGAGATGAACTTTCCCCCCAAAATCTAATACCCTAATTTCACTCTCTTGTCTCCATAAGCTCTTTCTATTAATTTGTCTCTGCTTGCCCCCACTTTTTGGTGACAACATCTATTGAGAAGTTGCGCTGACAGCGAGCTAATAGAGAAAAGCATTTGGGATTACTGGTGCTGTTTTTATGTTTACTTCATTCCTATAAATTATCAGTCGAGAGGGCTAGTACTTACTGGAAATAGTACCTTGTGGTGAACTGGTAAATTGGGAATAGTCAATGTCAGAATTTTCTTGTTGATCCAATCTATATATATACTTCCTCCGTTTCTATTTAGTTGACACGTTTGATTTAGGCACATATATTAAGGAGAGGAGAGAGAGAGAGAGAGAGAGAGAGAGAGAGAGGATGAAAAAGCAAGTGGGGTAACTTGTAAATGTAAGGTAAAAAATTTACCCAAAAAGGAAACGTGTCGACCAAAAAAAAACTTCCTATAAAGGAATACGTGTCAACTAAAAAGAAACGGAGGTAGTATATATATATATATATATATATATATATATATATATATATATAGATATATATATATATATATATATGATTATTATCTGATTGGATTGGTGGAAGAACTAGAACATGAGTGAAGCTGAATGTATTGGGGAAATGATAAGACTTGATTCGTTAAAAGGTTCTTGTGATTGTATGATGCCATCTATAGGGGATTCTGATACTAAGGGGATGGGTATAAATATTGGAAATGGAGTGGAAAGGAAGCAAATTAGGGTGATGAAAAGAATTATATAACTCTTATTTTTCATTTATTCAGTTTAACCATGGAAAGAAATCACTTAAATCTTAGGTTTTAGAGAAGTAACAAATAAGTGGAAACCATTACCCAGGGGTATTGGTAATTGTTACTCAAACCTTCTAACCAAACACTTGGTAACGTTAATGGTTTAATTGAATTCATTCCCAACCCAAAAATTGTTAGAGAAGATAAAGGGTCACAAAAATGGCTACAGCAATTATATTATCTTTTAGGCATTATACACTTTTCCCAAAGTAATATTCCGACCCTATACCTTGAGCATGGGTTGCACTGAATTCACCTTCGAGATCCAAAGAAGAAGAACAATGGTCACGCTCAATGTAAACAATGTAAAATGGAAACAAAGTGTAAAACTTCCGAAGCAAGATAACAAACTGATTTATTTTTGTGACGATGACAAGTCTGATTTATATAGCTTCCAATGCTAAATGAGGAGTCTCATGTATGTAGTTGATAGGTGTATGTCAACCGACATTTATCAAATAAAGCATTATGTAAATGCCAAACTAAAACGCGAGATGTCAAAACCGAAACTGAAACTGTTAGTAGGTAGCGGGTGTGACATTAGTGACGAATCAGCATACTTTATTTCTTTTCGCTTGATTTGTTGTATACTACTATCTTAATCCTATGTTGTCTAAGTCATGACAGTCATGACACTTTAACCAAATGACTTAAACTTAACATAACATAACATGAGTATAATCAACTAAATACTCTATAATCTCCAACAAAAATCACTCTTACCATCAGCTTTAAAAATTCCTTTCATTTTAATTTGTATCACCACTAGTTTTAAGTTTGGATTATTAGGTGTCATTGCTGTGGTTCTTGTACTGGTCATGAGTCAAATTGGAATTTAATTTGAGTCTCGTGACATTCTGTAAGTCTGTAACTCTGCACCAAATTTCTTAGTCTATGACTATCTTTTTTTTTTTTTATAACTAAACCAGCAAGTCTACTCTTATAGGAATGTGTTATTGACTTATTGCTCATGTTTAAATTTTTCTCTTTGGGTCCAGTTGTCACAGTTCCCTTGGTGGTCTAGACCCCTTATTCTGCTTTCCATTTTCAAAAATAAATGAGATGTTCTTAAACACCTACGCTAGCTGGGGCTTTTGGGAATTGCGATGAAGTTGGAAATCATAAGATACATACTCAAGGGGGTGTTCGTGCCTTAGGAGAGAAGAGGGGGGGGGTGATATTATTTTTGGCGAGCCTTAAAATATGTTGAGTAGGATCATTATCCCTTGTTTTTTCATGCAGCCTGAATGTCCAAAACTATAAGCTTTGTGGATTACTACAGGGTTTTTTTGTTTTATAAGATTGCACATGGCTTTCCTTGAGAGGTCATGAGGTAGATATGCAAAGTAAGTTTTATCAATGTTTTAAGGCTTGTAATCTAAGGAAACACATCAATTGCTCTGTAAATTGATTTTAAGGCAATCAATTTAATTATATTCTTCCCCATCCACATAAGCTCAAGAGAAAGAACAAATGCTAGAGTGTACCGTGAATTCAGCATCTTTTGTTTCATCGATGCCTTTGCCATGAGCTCTTCCCCTTGATTTGAGTCGTGAGTACGTGTTTCGAGATTGATTATCATTGGGATATCTGGTCCGAAATTTTGCGGCATCTATTCAATAAATGAATTGTTATATATCCGAGACCTGACCTAATGTTTGAGTGTTGCATTCCGAATATTAGATATCCGGTTTGGTATCTAAATTTGAACCTTTGAATTCTAGACCTTTGGCTCTGATATGGCTGTAAAATGGTTATGAGCATGTAATTGTTTGATGGTTGTATATCTAGTATGTACCCTCTCTGTCTCTATTTGTTCATTCTGCTTTGACGTTCTTATGCTCAGGAGAACAAAGTAGAATTCATTAAGAGCTTGATGTTCATAGTATACATAGGCATAGTGCATTTGTCAACATTGCTGAAATATTCCACAGCATTCCAAAAATAGAAACAATGTACAGTAATACTTTGTTTATTGTAAATGTATGGTATCTGACACAATTTGATCCTGAAATCTTGGATCTGATTATTCTGATAGAAATGCTGGACATTGATATTTTCTGATGTCAGATATTTGATTTGAAATATGGTTTCTTATGGATGATTTGATCAATGTTCATTGACATTATGAGGACAATTTCATTCTCAATAAAGAACTTTAGCATGTTTTTAGTGCAACTTGTATAATCATGGTCTCTTATGATTTTGTTAAGTTTTGCAATCAACAAGTGTATTCGATTATATTAGCATGGACTGATTATTTTCTTTTTGTCTCAGATACAGTTCCTGCGCGATCGGGTGGATGCTATGATTTTGATGCTTTTGTCTCAATAGCAGACTAGTAGGTAATTTCCGTGTATGGAAAATGTCTTTTGTAATTGTGATATGAAGAGATAATAATAAAAAAATACATAGAGATTCATCCGAGCTTGTTAAAGATGGTACCTCGAGTACGTGATTGTAAATTATATGTTTGTATCTCGACCTAAATTATGAAAATATTTGCTGGCCATGATCTACTTGAGATGGCTCGTACGGGGTTGAAGTACAATTCCGTGGGCATGTTTCACGCATCTTACTTGTGTGCTGGAGAGATCTCCATATCATTATTTGCGGTGCCCTCTTTCCATTGAATATAATCTATAGAATTCTAGTAGCAGATCAAAAGATGACTTTTTTATGAGATTGATGGTCGACATGATATTTGATTATATATTCCGTGTATTTAATGCGATTCGCAGAGTATGAAATGTTTGGTAATATGGGTTAGTGGGTCAACGTCGTTTTGATGTTTTTGATGCTTTTGCTAGTGGTTGGAACTTGGAAGAATTTTATTGGAGTAAAGTTAAAGCTTACGTCATTGCCTTATTTTTCCCTACATATTGATATTGATCATGTCCAATTATATGCGTTTAATTAAACTTGGTCCAAAGTTTATTTGCATGATAAAAATTGCGTTTGTGTTTGGATTATGATAAAGTTTACTGTGAAAATAGGTTTGCAACGTCTCTGTATATGATTATGCAACCATAAAATAGACGAGTGAAATGGAAAAGGTGAAAGTGATATTCAACACAGATCAATACTCCTTTCGAATTTAGATTGTCATGTTCGCTGTGCATAAAGTTCACATATGGCAATCTTGTGTGAGATGTTCTCATAATTATATCTACGCGTAAAACTTCTTTAGTACTTAGCATAAACAAAACAGTAGCACGCATTACATATAATTTTTCTTAATAATTGCTCATTTCAAGTTTGTATTTATGAATTGCAGCGATAAATGTTTGTTGGAACAATGGAACTTGTTCGTTGAAATTGTGACTTGAAAAGATTAAATTTGAGCTCCAAATTTGCCATTTATACGCAGTAATGGCGTGATGCTCATAAAGTTGAACTGACAAAATATCAGAGAGATGGTGGTCTTTGCCAGAAATGGGCTATGCTGCCATTAAAATAATCATATAATTCAACCAACTTGTATTTAATGGATTACCTTTATATTTTTATTATAATATCAAAATTTTGTAGCATTATGTTTTTTTTTTTTTGAAAGAGTAGCATTATGTTTTAAGATTGTACTTGATCCATAATTTATCAAAACTAAATTTTTTTTTTTTAAAAAAAAAAAAAAACTAAAAATGAAAAATGAGGAGGTTTATAACTTTTGTGTATAATTAATCAATGATCTCATACTCTTATGATCGTTATATTAACTTATTTGTGAGACCTTAAAAAAATCACTACTCATAAAACAAATAACCTTAAAATGATGAATTTATTGTGAGCTTGCCATCAGTTTACAGTTTAACATAGAGCTGTCAAAAGTTGACCCGACCCGAAATACCGACACAAACCCGATTATTAACCGACTCATCTGAACCCGAAAAAATGTTGACCCAAACCCAACCTGAAACCAACCCTAGACTCAAGTTGACCCAAGTATGTGAGACCCGAATCCAAACATGAACTGACCTAGAGATGACCCGACCCGAATGTAACCCGTAAATTATTGACCTGAACCCAACCCCACTTGAACCGAAATTGAACCAAACCCGACTTGTTACTAACCTAACCTGAATTCAACCCGACCCGACCCGAATTTAACCCAACCTGTTACAAACCCGACCCGAAATCAACCCAACTTGTTATTGACCCAACCCAAATTCAACCCGACTTGTTAAAGACCCGACACGAATTTTACCAGACCTATTACTAACCCGACCAAAAAATTCAACCCGATTTGTTACTAACCCGACTCGAAATTAACACGACTTGTTATTGACCCGACCTAAATTCAACGCAAATTGTTCCTGACTCAATTTCAAATCACCTTAAATGCAATTTAGACCACCTTATTATTGTTGATCAAAGGATTTTGTCTAGGGAGCCCAAGTCGGTCCAGGCCAGAAAGAAAGGAGCATCAGCCTCAAATTTAAGAGTTAAATATAGTACTTCCTTCGTTCTTTTTTACTTGACCCGTTTTGACTTTTACACTATTCACCACCTCTCCTTTGACCGCCTTTTGTGAATGATATGTGAGGAAAAATATATTCATATGATATCTTTTTTAGGGACTTGTTATTCGTCGCCCGCAAATCTCTACATAAAGCCCACATTTTATAATTTTTTGACAAATTTGCCCTTTTTATAATTTTAACCGAAGATAAATTTTTCGCACTAAAAAAATGTGGAGCAGCACCGGATCGCCGAGGATCACCGGAGAATCGCCGTCGTCATTGGAAAACGAGGTTCGTAACGCATCGTAAGGACGAAATGGTGGCTGGCGCCTAGCCAAAAGGCCATGCCGTGGTTGTGGCGCCTAGCCAGGACGCCGCCACCGTGGTAACGGCGCCTGGTGGAGAAGCCTCGACCATGGTAGTGGCGCGTGGCCAGGACGCCGGAGCCACGGCCAGGGCGCCTGGCCAGGACGCCGCCACCATGGCGGCGGCGTCCTGACCAGGCGCCCCGACCGTGGCTCCGGCGTCCTGACCAGGCGCCCTGGCCGTGGCTCCGGCGTCCTGGCCAGGCGCCACTAGGGGAATATATATATATTTTTTTTATTTTTTTTTTTTTTTAATTTAATCCCCTTTTTTTTTTTTTTTGTTTTTTTTGGTTTTGTTTTTGTTTTATTTTTTATTTGTTTGTTTGTTTTTATTTTTGTTTGTTTTTCTTTCTTTTTTTTTTTTTATTTTTTAATTTGTTTGTTTATTTATGTTTGATAAATTTGAAATGAAATGTGTGTTATTATTTTGTTTTTTAAATGTATTATGCGTTAAATATAAAAATGATATTTAGAAATTTAAAATTTAGAAATTGCGTTTGTGATAATTTTGTGTTAAGTGTATTAATTTAATCTTAATGTAATTATATTTATACGTTATATGTTATTGTTACAGGATTATGGTGGAGACGGAAATGATTACAGTGGGATTTTTGTACATGATGGCCTGTTCGAAGATGCTCAACAAGCGATTGATTGGGCAAAACAGGTTGCAATTAGATCAGGCTTTTGTTTAGTAGTAGCAACTCATAAATCTCAACGGGATGGTAGAATGGATCGCATTTTGAGATGCGACCGTTATCGCAAAAGAGAAGAACGAGATTTCAGTAAAGCGATTCGGTTTGACTCAAAGCGGAAAGGTTGTGGGTGTCAGTTCCGAGTTAAGGTTCGACAACATCAAAGGCGTGACGGTTGGGAAGTGAAGGGTTACGGCAAATGGGGATATCACAACCATGAGCTGATAGCATACAAAGTGGGGCATCGGCAGTTAAGCGGCCTAAGTCCAGCTGCGAAACTAGTTGTAAAAGAAATGAGTGATGCTCAAGTGAAGCCCGCTAAAATATTAGCGTCTGTGTTAGAGAAATTCCCCGAAGACCAGCCAAACCGAAGACACATCTACAACGTCAGACAGAAATTGAGGTTTGAACGGTCAGAGGGAAGGAACCCTATACAGCAGCTTCTGCACCAGGCACAAGCACGTGGTTACCTTTACTGGTTTGAATCTGATGAAGACACATCGGAGGTAACTCATTTGTTCCTTGTCCATCCTGATTGTGCTGATATGATTTCGTCTTGGCCATCTGTGATTTTGATCGATTCAACGTACAAGACAAACAAGTACAAGTTCCCACTGGTTGAGATGGTTGGGATGGCTCCAACGAACCAGAACTTTCTGATTGGTTATGCAGTCATGAAGGATGAGACGGCTGCGAGTTACCGTTGGGTGTTGGAAAAGTTGAGAAACTACATCGGCCCAAATGTACAGCCATCGGCCATCGTAAGTGATTGTGAGGGAGGTCTTTTTGCCCCTATAGCGGAGCTGTTTCCGGAGTCGAGCCATTTACTGTGCACATGGCACATCAACAACTGCGTGAAAGTCAAAGCCTACAATCTTTTCAACAAGAATTTAGTAACAGCAGAGACATTGGTAAATGGTAAGTGGCGGAAGATCATGCAAGCTACCACAGAGGCAGAGTACGATCGAGCCTTGGAAAACTTCAAGGATGCGTACAAGTGGTGCCCGCCAATCGTAGACTATGTGATGCACCAGTGGGTACCTCAGAGGGAAAAGTTTGTCAAATATTGGACGAACCAAGTTCTTCATTTTGGGAACACTACGACATGCAGAGTCGAGAGCGCTCATAGAGCTTTGAAGGACTGGATTGATTCTTCCACGGCTGCTCTGGATACACTGTTCGAGAGAATAAACAAGGCTATTGATACTCAGAGGAACGGCATCAAGAACTATCTCGAGGTCGTGGCCGTGGTCGTACATCCTCATCAAGTGGCAGCCAATCATCGTCGTCGGTGAATATGCCCGGCACCGGTAAGACATTCGACTTCAATTTCTTTTGTTGACTGTTTGATTAGTTTACTGTTGACTTGTTTATTGTGTTTATTGATGTGTGTAACAGGGAGAATGGACATTGAACATTTTCCATATAAGGACAGGATCCCTAATATCATGATGCCATTCTTGGACGGGTGGAATGATGTCATTGCAGATGGTAACTGCGGATTTCGGGTTGTGGCGGATGTGTTTCAAATGGGTGAAGACAACTACGGTTTAGTGCGGCAGTTGATGTACAGTGAAATCGCATCAAACCGAGATGTGTATGGCCATGTGTACGGCGAGGACTTGGATAGGTCTCTGCAGCGTATCCGGTGGGGAGGGGGACCTTGCGATCAAAATCATTGGTTCGATGCGCCACTTGATCTCTTTGCCGTTGCAAACATCTACAAGTGTGCAGTCATGCATTTCGGCCTTGGTTTACATAGTCGAGCCTATTATCCATGTACAACGGTTCTGCCCTGGTGTTCGCGCGAGACCGTCACCAGACCGGTAAGGGACGTTGCTATTGGATTTCTTGGGCCGTCATACAGACATTTTATCCGATTAGACATGTCACCCGATTTTCCGGTCCCACATATCATACCGAAGTGGTATGAAATTCGTAGAGCAAGCGTGGAGGGTTGGGATGCTTTGTACCATGCTCGCGTGCAACAGTGGAACAATTTAATTGCCATGTAGTTTTTGTTGATGTACACCTACCTTTTACTATGAGGCCTTGTATTGTCAATACTATGTCATTTCTATGTGTTCATTTTTAAAAGATAATATTGAATTTTAAAAACTAAGAACAATAATTTCAAATATTACAAACTAAAAAGATAATGTCTAATTTCAAATATCAGTAATCCCTCTGTGACGCCCACTGCCACTGCTCAAGGGTCCGTTCCAGATCGTCAATAACAG